GAAGCAATGCCAGTCCATTGCAGGGCACACAGTCACACACTACAGGTAATTTACAGACACCAGTTTACCTGACTGCATGTGTTTGGACTACAGAGGGAGATCCAGAGAAACACCACAAGAACATCCAAACACAAAGACCCAGCAGCCGGAATCTAACGCGCAACTGAGTATGAAACAAGAGTTGTAACCAGAGTGGGATGATCCCATGATATAGTGATCTAAGGGTGGCTTTCCCGAAAGCTTCGTAACGATTAGTAGTTCGTTATCTAGTACTTAAGATCAATCGTTAATTAGCGAGTGTTTGCCGAAACCCTTTGTAGCTAAAGTAGTCTTGTTTGTTATCTCGTTCGTAGATTTACGAGTGCTCTGACTCACTCGTTATTTTCTATGTCATTCTTTACTTGTACATTTGCTTGTTGCCCTGTCACAGAGATACAGAAATCAGCCAAAATACATGACAAAAATACATTGACACTCTTTTTTTGTACAATATAACAATGCTGATGATATAATAAGAGGTCAATATTGCAGTAACTTCAGTCCTGGAGAGCTGGAGCCCTGTGTGGCTTAGTTCTTTCCCTGTTCCACCATAAATGATTCAGCTCAAGAACTGTGTGGTAATTAGCACAAGGAGTAGAATCAGGTGTGTTAAATGAGTGGAAACCCAAAAATGTGCAGGGCTCTGGCCCTGCAGGACTGGAGTTGGGCTCTCCTGGTGTAGAGTATAAAATAGCGCAAAAGGGGCTCATTGTCATAACACCTGTATGCAATTTCAGTACATAACAGGGTTGTGCACCATTCAGAACTGACTTGAGAATGACGTTGAAAATCAAATTCAATTCATAAACTGGTTGAAAACACGGTGCAGAATCGCAATTCAACTTTGAATATAAGGAAGCACAATTAAAATGGAATTGATTTCACATAAATTCCTAAATACACTGAATCCTGCCCATGCCCCCCACCATGCAAACACGAATATTTATGGCAGCAAGAACTACCCTTCGGCCATGCCCAACCCTGGGTCAAGCACCTGCCAGAATGGTCTGTGCATCTCATTGTTATTTATAATGAATACCACATTTGAAGTGTCACCAACAGAATAAATAATTTAACTGTCATTTTGTGTACCATGGTGAAAGAGCACTTCATACAGTCATACAAGTACCCATTCACAACCCTATCCATCTGACAACCCACCGGCACTCACAAGAAAAGCTACTACAGACTCCTCACAAATGGTAACACACAGAAACTGTTAAATATGCAAAATCAATAAATATATGCCCATGGCAAATACCTTAGAGGGCTTATATAAACCAAGTGCATAGTTCACTCACCAGTACATATATAATGTCAATATATACATGTACCATCTTGGAAGTAAATCTGTTATGTAATTATTCATGGTTTGCTAGATTAAATGACATTCATGTGCAGTATGATTACATTGAATTGAAATGAATTAAATTCTTACTGTCATTCCAATTCATAATTTTACAGGGTGTGGCCAAGTCAATTCAAAATCCAATTCATAAATTCTGAACAACCCTGGTAGGCTACATAATGAGCTAACCAATCAAACTTGATATGTGTTCAGTCATATCTTTTGAATTGGGAAGGTGAATCACCCCTCACGGCCAGCAATGGCAGAGAATTGTGCAAGCCAACAGAAGACAGTATTTGAGACAGCGCCATCCAGGAAATCAACTTGATCATGAACTCTTTGGACTGTCAGTAATGAACAATTCATAGAGAAATACAGGCTGACCTGGGGTGAAATAATGAGCTTCCGCGGTTGGGTGCTGGATAAATCGTACACAGGAATTTTGCCCTCAGTGCACCATGCAGCTTCTGACAGTTCCCTGCTTCTACACCCGTCGTGGGTTCCTGCAGACCTACAGAAGCACATGGCCTCACCAAGGCTGCTGTGTCCTGCATCTGTGCATTGATCAAATTTCTGTTGCACCGTGTGCACAAATACCTACAATGTCCAGCAGGCGGGGGTGCCTTACTTGACACTAAAATTGATTTTCATGCCATTGCAGGTGTACCTGGCATTGTAGGTGCAGAGGATGGAGCCCTCAGCCCTATTCATACCTGCAGCCTCTAGAATCCCACTTGCCTGTCAAAAAGGGTTCTTGACACTAGGCCTTAATGTCCAGGTGATATGCAGCCACCAAGGACATTTTACAGACATTGATACCAAGTGGCCTGGGAGTCCACAAGATGTTTATATCTGGTCCAGCTATGGAGTGTCAGATGGCAAAGGATGGTGTGTTTGCTGGTGGCTGGTTCCTGGGAGACAGCAGACATCCTCTTAGCTAATAGCTGCTGATTCCAGTGTTGAATCCCCAAACGGTGACAGCACACCAAAGAACACACACTGCTGTAGAGAGGCTTTGGGCATGTGGATGATCCGATTCTGGTGTCTACATGAGTCTTTGGCAGCTCTAAGTTTTCCCCCTGAATGTTGCTCTGCTATTCTTGTTATGCGTAGTATGCTGCACAATATTGCAGTAACTGTTTTACTAAAATATATTTTTGACCCCCTCAACAAGTTGTTTTACGGCTTCTTTTGAGAAATGTTACTTCCTTTTCCTATTGCTGCTCACCATTGCACTTTTTTATAAGGAAGCAACATTACATTTTGAGCCTATTTATATTTTCAACAGACGGGTTGAGGTATTGTGGTCTTAATTATGAGTGCTTTGATGTGTTTTTATTGATTTTTCTAATTAGTTGGTGTTTTTTTACATTTGTATATATGTGGTATGACAAACATAACATATGTCACCATTCAAATACATGGAATCGGTGTTCCTGTTAACGTCAGTCTGTGCTTTTCTCATACGGAGGCTGGGGAGAAGCCAACAGAGTTTGTCTGTTAATTCTGAAATAATGAAGGGTTTTGGGAAACACGTAGACCTCACTCATTCGTTACCTACGTCATTCTTTACCTTGTTCGTTATTCATTAAGACCGATCCCTTTAGGGAAAGCCATCCTAGAACAGAACACACTTTTTCCCTTCAATTTTAGAAGGTTTGTAATGTTTTAGACACGTCAGGATGGAAAACAAAGAAAGAGGAATGATTTGTAGTATGCCTGAGTATGCTTGTTTTTTTCTACTAGTGGAACCTGATATATGGAAAGCTGATAATGTAAAGATCAAATCAATCAATGAAATCAATCAAAGAACTCATATAAATGGCATAAAAACAGCAGCTAGCATAATACCTGCGTAACGTGAAAGAGCTTCTGGGGAGAACTAACCATGTGAATCCTAAATAGTGATCAGATTCCAGTCCTGACAATTTACACTGGACTGAGCAGTTCAGAGCTTGCTGTATAGCAATATGTGCTTGCATGTGAGAAAATCACTTTTGTGATTAATGTAGCCAAATCAAATAATGATTAAAACTGACATCTCTTCTGAAGGGATTTCCAAGTTAGTGTTGCACTCTGGGACAGTCTTTTCAAAAATAAATAAAATAAAACTTTAACATTTTACTTGAGGGGACACAAATAATGTATATTCTTCAGTCACTTTGCATTACTTTTAAGATAATTACAATATTTTTTGTTGGTTTCTAATGAATGCATTTTTCAAACACAATGTATATATTATAACAATATAAAATATTATATCCCATTATATTTTCATATACATTTAAAAATTTATTAAAGTTACTGGTCTATTACAAAAGATCGATTATACAATATTTTTCATGCTTTTAAAATATATTACTTTCAATATGTGTAACATGTATGAAGTAAAAACATATACTATATGATACTGTACTTATCAACAAATCCTTCAAAAAACAAAAAAAAATAGATCTAAGCAGCAGAAGGGAATCCTCAGACCTCTACTGCGATGATTGCTTCATGAATTTTGTAGAACCATCTAGTTAAGTGGCAGGCAGAATTGCAAAAGCTATTGAAAGGCTACAGTTCTAAGTCTAAGAGAGGCCTGGCAATTAAGGTACCTTACCTGAACTGATTTAAAGCTAAGCCTAACAATGCAAGCTGTAGATTTGTCTTTGGATTAAAGTGCCTGCTGAGCAAATAAAAACAATTAGGTAAATTGGAAATTTCATGGTAGCAGAATTTAATACTTTTTGAAAAGCCAATAACATAGAACCAATATTGCTGGCACATACAAGTAAGTAATTCAATCTGAAAAAAATACATTTTTAACTTGAGCTGAAACTTCAAAACGACTTACATAAAAGTCACAAATGTCATACTCCTGTAAAATACCCTGTCATCTCGATTAAATATACCTGTAATAAAATAGGATTTACTATGACTGGTGTTTTTTGACAGAAAAAAATTAATTTTACATGGAATAACTGCATGTGAAGCTGTTCATGCAGAAATCATGGAAACAGGAAACATTTTTGCAAAACAAACTAACAAATAAATAAGCTTGAAACAATACCAATATAAACTTTGATTTGCCAGAATCAGCCTTCACAAATAATGACAAACACAGAGCGAGAAAAACAGGAGCAACAAAAATGTCCAGAATTTTCACAGTGGGCTAAAGTGCACAACCAAAATGGCACAATCAATTCATTGATTAGTGCGTTTTTATCTTACAAGAGGGATCTGACAATTGTTAATTAAGAAAATAATGCTGAAGTGTTTTTGTTTCCAATGTCCATAGGGTACAATTTTCACAAAAACAGTCTCACAAAAAAAAATAACATAGGTGTTTTGGTTAAGATTCTAAAAGATTCCAGGGATATACTTTGATATAAATAGCAGCTGTAGTACCAGTAATTCACACTACGTAGCCAGAAATTCAATAGTACAGTCACAAATCAGTCATATTTTTACAAATCTCTATCAATCCAAATAGCTTTGGTCCTTGTTTAGGTCTTCCCCTTGAACTCGCAGCACATTCTCATAAATTCATGTAGTTCTTATAAAATATTTGATATCTGACTTCTTGATTTCTATTTTTTAAATGGTGTTAACCTTTGCCAGAAGGGAGATGGGCTCCTTTTAAAATCATTTATTTCAAAAATTTCTGATTGTGCCAAGCTGCCTGGTAACATGTACTGTCCTGGATCCATGGTGCTCCCAGATGGGGCATAAAAAGGAGGCATTGATCTGTTTTGACTTACACCTGGATTTGAAGAAGAAAAAGAAACAGACGTGTAGAAAAAGAGACAGAGCCAGAAAAAACAAGGAAGACCAAAAAGAACACTGTTATTACTAATTGAAATGTATACATATATACACCCATATACATATATGGGTGTTTCCATACTGTATATGTATATATATATATGGTGGAAAATCGTCAAAGAAACAGACAAATAAGCATTTAGGCAAATTTTGATTACAATACTTAGTATTGTATGTCAGTAGACACCTTCAGTTTTGCAGAGCACAGAGGAAAAAGCAATTCTTCACTGGTAAAGGATCGCTACATAAAATATTCTGGGTGTTTCTTGACGCTTTTCTGTATTCACTTCTGGATTATTACTTAATAAATAATCACAAAAGTGAACTATTTACACTATTAACAAAAAAGTCTAAAAGGTGCCATGGCATCTTAAAAGTATATTATTCAGAAGTTTTTGAGCATTAACATTTGTTGTAACTTCCACTAAATTTATATTTAAAATCATAACAAAACTGTACACATTTACTTATACATGTACTGGGCCTAATAAATTAAAGTTACACAGGGATGCTCCGTCCTGGTCTTCCCAGACCTTTCCGGTTTTGTTCAACTCTGCTTTTAATATATGAAATTAATGACATTATTTTGAATGATAAGATTTCCTACATGCTATTTCATGTATCAGGGGAAATTGAGAATAACTGGACTCTCAAAAGCCAAGCCTAGGTGCCCCTAATGTCCCCATGATGTGATGTAAACCTGTTGTTTTGACTTGTGCAGATGTTCTTTCGGCACCCACAATGGGACACTCCATTTTCTAAAAATCTTAGAATTAGATAAAAAAACTTGCATTTGTATTGGTTACTTATGGTTAAGGTTACTTACTTGTGGTTAAGGTTAAGGGCTGAGTAGGGGTTAAGGTTGCTATAGTTGGGAATAAGGTTTTGCCCATAGAAATGACTGGAGAGTCCCAACAAAGCTATAGATACCTAATCTACTTGAGTGTGTCTCTGTGTGGAGAATGAATTTCTCAGACTACACAACAGCTGCCATGGCATCTTGATTAAGCAAAGTTTTATAAGCAGGGTAACTTACTGTCTACAACAGGGGCCGCCAATCACTTCATTATTGTTTGCAAAAATTGCTTCAAGATGAACATGTATTAATATGTATTAATAGAAATGTGCTCAAGGTTTTAGCTAAACAAATGAAAAAAATGTAAAGTGAGTCTAGATAGAGAAGAATTTTTTTCTGCAATATGTAAATCCACATATTAGAAATTATTAATTATTAATTATTAATTCTGCCTAATCTGACCACAGCACACATAAAAAATGAAACTGTTCCTTATCTCCTTTTGGCATATTGTAAAATGACATAAGAGTACGGATATTTTAATTTCCTCAATATTCAGGCATGGATTTTCTATTTATTCATTTTTAACAACTGGTTATCTAATTAGGGTCATTTTTCTATGAGACTACTCTAAGATGCGAGATCCTATTCCAATGGAGGGTTTTGGAGCTATGTAAAAAATCCATAAAACATACTACTTAGAATATCACAAAAAAGATGTTGGTCTATTTTTTGATTTTGAAGCTGATCAGTTAACACTGCACTGTTTTCTACAGACAGCCCAACTGAACTACTGCTTCTGCACTTTCCCACAATTCCCAGTTTTAATTAGTTATCTAAACTGTGTGTGTAAACAATAAGCTTTTATTAAAAGTAACTGCATTCCTTCAAACTAAAGGACAAGCGAATCTCTAAGATATTGTGGAAATATCACTCACATTTTTTGAGACACTTGATATGAGGGGACTTTTGAAATGGTAATAAAATACAAATTGTGCAGCCATGCTGGTGGGACAATTTTTTGTTTTCACCAAGCTCAGACTTCGAGTGTTTGAATTTTTTGCAGAGCAATTTACATTGTCTGAACTTATTAGGTATATTAAAATTATGTAATTTATATCTCTGATTTAATAATCACTTTTCCCGAAATTGGCTCTACCACTTCAGTTTTAAGATCAAATGACACAAGACTAGATAAAACATTTTAAACCATTAAATTTTACTGCAAGTAACCCACCACAGACAATCAATTAGTATAAGATGAACGTTAATTTCTTTAGTTGTTTTGAATTTTCAATAGTTTGAATCTGCAGGCAGTTAATTACAACAGTGGCAAATTTGACTTGTTAGACAATAATATAATAGGAGTCTGTTGTAAACCAAAAAGAAAATAGAGAACCTTGTTATGTTACGGTAATAAGCACAAGTATATGCACTGCGACCATGATTTTTTACTTTTTTTAACTGAAAGAATTAGTTTTAATCAACCAGTCCATATGCCTAAGTGATTTGCCTACTAGGCATGTTGACAAGGCAGATTTCACTTGAATGCAGCCTAATGGTAATATACTTGTATTTACTTATATATTTAAATGTATACTAGTGTATTATGTAATTCTTACATAATTGTATGAATTATTCATATGCGTTTTGGATTTTAACATTTGTTTCTAAATATATGATGCATGTTAGAAGGTTTTGTCTGGTTATATGTTCAGCTTTCTGAAAACTGCAATACTGCTTTTGGCCATGTAGAGGCGCGTGACTTAATGCAGACCTCCAGAGCACATACTGAAAAATGCACTTAAATGCAATAAATTCAGTGGCAGGATGCATTTAGGGGTCATTTACAAGCAACAAGCCCATATTTTGGTGTTTCTCTGCCCAAACTGTATAAATCGCTTAAGTGCACTTAAACCCTACACTTAAGTTGATCGGAGGATACACTTAAGTTAAAAAAGCACGGAGCTAGGCGCTTTCTTGACTTGAAGACCTGGGAGAATTGACCCTTAATGTTTTGCAGTTTGGGGTTGGCCCATTTATTTGCCCAGGAGTGTATGCATTGTTGAAATGGAACACAAAAAGACTAATAAAAATATTATGTAACTCATTTAAAAAGATGCTTGTTGTAGGAACTATAGGATGAAGGGGAGTTAAGTTTTGCTTGAAATTGCTTCCTTTATGTAGACAGTTATGAAACTCATTTTTAAAAGATACATATTTCATAGGTTAAAATGAATTTCAATGTTACAATAAATTTGAACATTCAGTTTCACTGTTACCTATTGTAATTGCATGGACTAATAAACAAATGTTGAGTATATTATTATATTTTTTTTAGCATTTTCTGTATTTTATCAAACAGGTTCAATTGACACAAAACACAATTTAAAATAGTTCAAATTCATGGCTCCTCCACTCAATCCATTCAAAATGTGTGATGATCAAAGTGATGCTAAATATGCCAAATTATTTTTATTTTGCTTCTACATGTGATGTTGATTTTTCACAAATCCAATGTTTCCCTGCTGTCATGACTGAAGTATTGATGTATTGGCGACCCCCACTATATATAATACTCTCATGGTAAATTAATATACCTTTATCTTTTTCATACCATGTCCATAAAAAATGTCCATCTTTCTCAAGATGATATCTATAAATGAATCTGAAAATTCAAAAAAATACTTCATCTTGAGTTGCCCATGTGCAAAAGTGATTACTACAATCTATTTGGTTAAACCAAATTATTACTGAAAGTACATACATTTGTATAAATAAATATACTGAGATATAGACACACACACATAACAAAAAAAATCACATAACCAGTAACAAGTCTGAATAGTTATTTTACAATCATCTACATAATGGCATTGTACCCAGTAAACTTCAATTATTGGTTAAGTAAATACAAGGGCTTGGTCTTTTCATTGCTGTTTCAGTGCTGTTCTACAGTTTTGGAAGGCTCTGTATTGCAGTTGTCATTTCTTTTTAAAAACAACTGAACATACTACCAATATTACTCAGCTATCCAATATGAAAGGAACACCTATCTACAGTGGCGTATGGGAGATCCATAAAGCTACACTGGGCCTTCAATGGCAATTTGTGGAACCAATGATGCCAATATTGCAACCTGAGTAACATGCAAGCCAACATAGATAATGGTTTCAGTGTTAAGGAGTCGTGTGACCATTAGCTGAACGTAATGCCCTACACCTACCAAATACCAAAACTGTACGATTAGCACTGCTGCTAACATTAACGGTCAGAGGGATGGAAAACTGGGAGTGTTCAAATTAGCACTAAGCCAAGGCTGGATGGATTAGTTGACTAGCTAACTTTAGTGAAAACAACAGGCATTTTTATTAACAGTAAAACATACATTCAAGTTGATCTCTGAGACTAGCCTACAGATTTTCTTTTCTTCAATAGTCTGCTAGCCATGCCGAAATAGAGCACTTACCTACCGCTACAGTCTGCTATGATAAATGGTGAAAAGAGTAACATTATTTTAAGAGATTTTGCCCTTTCTTCTTTTTAGCCTGCCTTTTCAGTGCATGCTACCAAGGTTTTCAGTGCTTGATATTTTATCTTCATCCTTTCTATACTTTTGTTATTAAGGCTTATATTCAGGGATTGACATAACTGGTACACAAGTACGCATTCATCTTTAAAAGCGATACGTGCGCCAATCAACTAATGTAACAGTGCAAATACGTACGTATTTTATGTGCATTTTTACCGATATGACAAAAAATTACCGTGCATTTTAACTTCTATACCACAAATGAAGTACGAATTAGCATATTCGGTTAAAATGCATTTCTTGTCATATCAGCGCAAATGCACATAAAATGCGTACGCATTCACGCTGTTACAACAATTGATTGCCGCACGTATCACTTTTAAAGGTGAATGTGTACTTGTGTACCAGTTATGTCAGTCCCTGCTTACATTCATTCATGAAAGTATTGCATAGTGACTTGGCTGGACAGCGAGATCTTAGGTTTTTTTTTAGAGTAATTGCTATATTCAGTGGGCATTTATATTTTTCAACCAGCAAATGTTTGCTTAACAGGAAGGCTTGAGTATGACCAATTTAAAGCCAGTTGCTTTGCAGTACACAGATGTTGATAATTCTGGAGTGCACATTACATACAAATCTGACCAGGACTCTACTCCGTGTGATGGCCCCCTGCATTGCAGAGGCTGTGCTGGTGTCACATACGCCACTGTCTATATTGGTATCTTGAAATACACAGTTGTGGCCAAAAATATTGACGACACTGGAGTTTTTCCATGTAATCCAAAAAAATACTAAAATCACAAATATTGGGTGTTAGCATATTCGTTATCTTTATTTGAATTAGAACACAAAGAAAAGCCGAATTGAATCGCATTTCACACAGAACTCCAAAAATTATTCTGACAAAATTATTAGCACTCTAGACCTAATATTTGGTAGCACAGCCTTTGGAAAGAATAAATGCAAGCCAGAATTTCTTCTAGCCATAAACGAGTTTCTTGCACCTCTCTGCTCTCTTCTTTTGCAAGCTGCTCCAGGCCTCCCAGATTTTCTTCTGATCTTTTCACTGTTGTTCTAGGGGATTTAGATCAGGACTCACTGTTGGCTCATTCAAAATAGGCAGTGCTTAGTTTGAAACCATTTCTGGGTGCTTTTTGAAATGCACTGTAAGTCATTGTCCTGCAGAGGGACCTTCAACAGATTAACAGAGACCAAACTTTCTGATGCTGGGTCCTACATTGTGCTCCAAAACGTCTTTATACTCTTCAGACTTTTGTCTGAAGGTCAGCTTGGCATCTGTTTGGCAGATTAAGGTTCTCTTTCCACCATATGGGCAATACTTTGCTGCAATCAGTTTTTTTGCTGCCATACGTCCATGGAGATTGGCTACAATACCACAGACCTTAAACTTCTTGATAATGTTGCATACAGTGGACACAGTAATGGGAAGTTATCTGGAGATAGTCTTGTAGCTTTGCAGTTGTCCATACATTCTATGATTCTGTTTCATCCCTCCTTAGGCACTTCTCTACTCTTTCGTCTTTTCTCCATGCTCGGTGTGGTACACACAGACATGCAAAGCACCTGGATCAACTTTTCTCCAGGTAAATAGGCTGAAATCAGGTTGCCAGATCCCATAAACTGTCACAGGTTTGAATAAAAACTGAAGTACCACCACCTGAAATTCAACTATGGCTTACAACTTCATTCATTTATGGCGTTCTGTGTGAAATAAGATCAGATTCACCCTTTTTGCCAGTTATTTTGTGTGTGTGTGCGTGCTGTTCCACTGCACATAAAGGAAGAACGTGTTATTACCAAAACAACGTCAATATTTTTGTGAAAGAATTAGTGCATAATACGAAAAAAAACTGCAGAGATTTGCCCAATATCTTTGGCCAAAGCTGTATTCCACACTCTGAAAATAATAATGGTAACATTATTAGTAGATATCTATTAATTTCTAATGAGAAACTGAAGAATCTTTGCTGCACTAAATTCCCCAATAAATTGCTGTGGTTGTTGAACTATGTCTAACTTGGAAATTATTTTAAAAAAAAAGCCGAACAGTGAAGACACAGTCCAAAACAGCAATTAAGAGACTGGGTGACAAGATCTGAAATAATGCCAAAGAAGAAAAAGTACTGGGGATCACCTGGTATCTCTTTGTTGCCTCACCTTTCTGTTTAGCTACTTTTCGCACTGTCGTGGCAGCTTGCTGCTTTTGATATCCCGAAATTTCAAAACCTGTAAAACAACCAAATAAAGACGCTTGCTCAAAATTGCAGTCCCAGTTTGCTTTATTTTCCTAATTAAAATTTTTATATTAAAATAACAAGTAGACCAACATCACTTTGGTTAACAAAAAATCATTTCTCAACTATTTCCTGTCCTTGACCAGTTAATTACATTTACAGTAATCTGGCTTTAAGGCTAGAGTTTCACACATTCCTGGATTGCAGTGCATATTCTTGGTCACAGGATTTATACAAAATAAACAAGCTATGTGATAAAGCATTTCAAGGTGAGAGAAATCTATCCTTTAGCGAACACTGGAGTGATTAATTGGGAGAAGCGAAAGAATTCCTGATGGGTCACCCAGGTCACAGGCTGGTGACGAGCATCAAGAAATAACTTTATGTAAATGCTATAGCAGGGATTACTGAACTAGTTCGGAAGTGGATAGTGGTCATGACAACTGTCAAGCTATCAGCCTCCAGATCAAGAATCCAGTTCACAGATTCCACAGAGAACCAATTAATTAATCTCACATTTACTATTTCTGTGTATCTTAAATGCCATCATTGTTCAATGTCTTATTGCAAGGTATTGTGAGTTTCTCCTTACTGAGTATCCTTCTAATTTTTTCTGATTCCTGACTTCCTTTGTGTCACTGCCTTCTTGCCTGTGGTTTCCTGACTTTGATTTACATTTGGTTTGCCCTCTGCTCACGACCCCAGCCTGGTTCTCCAGTTTTGATTCCGGAATTGTGTTTTGGCTCTGTTGCTATTCATAAACAGATTAAGGTAAACGTGGATCTTGCTCCCGGACCCCGACTAAGTTTATTACAGTGATGCTACATCCATTGTGTAACAAATAAACTAATTAAATAGCATTTTCATCTCAAAAATTATATTGGGGCTAAGATTTTAAAAAAGTTTGTTCATTAAAAGGTGATGACTTTAATCTAAAGGTAACTATGATTATATGGCAAAAATCTGGTCAGAACATAATTTCTATGGTCTTGTTAATCAAATATGATTACCTTAACAGTGTTACCCACAGTTATTCATAACTAATGTTTATTGAACCATAGGGTTATCAATAAAATTTCCAGACTGATTTTACCATTAAACAGTGTAGTATGCTGTCAGGCTAATTTGAAAAACAATAAAAAATCAATAACTCACAATACATCTGATACTGTTCAAACATACTTGCCTATTTTTTCATCTTCTTGGACCATTTTTCGCTCCTCTTGGAAAGCTCTGAGCCATCGAATCTTCTCTTCCAGCTTTTTGGCATGGAAGATGTGGCTTTCTTCAGTGTCCTTGTTGCGCAACTTGAAGGCATTTTTAACACTAACGTTGAAGTCGTCATCCCTGCCATCTTCTATGTCGGTCACTTCATACCTGTCCATATCGATGCGACCTTTGTAGTAGAGGACATCTCTGCGTATCAAGTCCTGAGGTAAATTGAACCGAATGTGTTAATAACTGACCCAAAATCTGGTGACTCACAAATATGCTGATTTAAAAAAATATTCAATGTTACCTTCAGATCTCTTACTGCAGCCTTGTAGCCTGAAGGGGTACGTTTTTGTCCATGCTACCCACTTAATTAGCTTTGATTAACTGCTGGCTGAATAAACGTGCATAATTTGAATTTATAAATTACTAGGGGACTTCATGTTGTTCTTATACTATTTTTTTTACTTATGGAATACAAGTAATACAAAAATGTAAATGCACTATTTTTATTCCATGTTGTTTGCCAAAATCTAAACAACAGACAAAAGGAATGTCTCGTTGATTATTCAAGCACATTATACAGTATTGTTCATAAATGGGAAGGAATTATATACCTAGATTTTTCAAAATACAAGCTTCAGTCCTTATACCGTAGCACAGTATTCCTCAGCAACTGGTATACCACAAGAAATGTTAGTTTTCAGCCAAAAGCTCCATCAAAGTTAATTAAATCTCTACATTCTTAGGCCTGTGAGCCTGGAATTTTATGTTTTGTCTGTTCCTAAGCCAGTACGTTGTCTTGAATTTGAGGATATATCAGAGAAATTAAGTTTAACAACTCAATTTCTTTTATTATGCTTTATAATTTATTATACATAACCACCCTAGTAATAATGCATAATAAAGCATAATAAATAAATAAATGAGTAGTAATAATATCAAGAAATAATGGCAGGGAACATACTGAAACGGCCTACCTTTTTGAGGGACATTGTCACTGTGGGATGGTAATGATCTAGCAGTTGGTATTTTAAATGTTTCCTACTTTTAGAGGCAGCCATACATCTGCCACCTCAGGTGTAGATAAATACGAGAAGGGCATTCGTATCCTAACGTTATCCACGTTACAGATCAATTTTTTAATTCCCTAACGGCATACCTTTTTGCAGAGAACCATCTGATGATCAAAAAGAAAGAAAACTCTCTGCTGACTCCTCCCATAGGGTTGATAAACCCAGGACATCTCCCCGGTATAAACCAGCTCAGAGCTTCTGTCCAAAATGTCGTCCCCCTACAGAACAACAAGAGCTGGAGTCATAAAATCATCCATTACTTTTAACCAAAATAGGATCTAGAAAATGGGGTGGCAAGAGACTGGCATGAAAATATTCTTTCAGATGTGCAGGTACAGCATATACGTATGATTTATCAGATTGCTATTAGAATTTACTCAATATTATCAGCCATACTGGTATTTTAAAAATTAAATATTGCGTATTATTATTTTTTTTTGATATTGCTGAAGGGAAGGACGGTGAGATGGAGCTAAAGTGAAACAAGCCATAATTTACTAGAGAGGTAGCCTACATAGTCCTCTGAGTTCGGGAGAATGTTAGTGACATGCTTAAGTCAGGAGAACTCATACTGTATGAAACTTAATTACTAATTGTATTGCGTTTGATTTATATAAAAGTTACCTCACTCAAAACTGCGTTGGTAGACGGGCTGGCAACCCAAAGGAAGGCGTGTTAGCTGCCAACCCATAGATCTAACACTGACGACTAAATATGACCACAGAGCCAGTAGCTGGAGTGATGTGAGCAAACACTATGGATTTTATGGTAGTAAATTTATTTTGTGAAATTTTTGTAATAATGCACAATATTTCCCAATGCAACTTGGTCGTATTCTGGTAGACCTGGCAGTTGTCCATGCAAAGTTTCAACCAATTTTCTAGCAGGAATTAAGCGCTATGGTAATACTAATTCTTAATACTGAGCAAAATCTTTATAATTATGCATGTAATGCATATTATGTCTCCCATTCCAAATTGATCCAGCAGCCTGAGCTTCTGTCAGTCTCTGAAAAATTGAATGCTGAACTGAAGTCAATGAACAGCATTCCTATGTAGAAGTCCTTCTTGTTCTGGTGCGAAATGGCCAGGTTTAGCCAAAAATATGGCATCAGTGCACCAGCTGGGATGACAGATGAACTGTAGAAGATCAAGTAAGGTTGGGAGTGTAATTTCCATGTACCTCATGACTTTTTATGTAACGCTAATTGTTCAAAGCACTTCATCATGACCGGTGTGAGGGCGACTGGGAGACAGTTGTTGTGGCAGGAGCCAGTTAACCTTTTCAGTATAGGTATGATGGTGGTGGCCTTCAAGCATGTGGGGTCGACTGCATGCTTCAGCAAAATGCTGAAAATGTCTGTGAGGACAAATGAGATACCAAGATGGTGCGGCAGTGACCACCCCAGTTTGCCTCTGACCAGCCAGGGAGGTGATTCGGAGGTACAGTATTTTAGCACATTTATACTATTCATGTATATTTTTTGGTTGACTTGCTTGAACGGCTTGCTTGCTGGAATTACTTCCAATCACACCATTGCATTTCAATAGGACTGAGACCAAGACTCTGACATGCACATCACAAGCACCCAGAACCATGTATATGACTGCAAGAAATTCTGGACATCCAAAGATAAGGCTCAGTTCACCAGCTCAGAATACCAACAGAGGACATATCTCTGCAGACACCAGCACAGGAAACCACGGAGCTGCTTGCAGTTGTCCAAACGGCATGGATGGAAACGCAAAAGGCGATAAATTAAAGATGCTTCCAACAGGCTACTGAACCACTGCACCTTGCCAGCTACCCCGTCCCTCTTCATATCGAATGTTCACTCTCTGGACAACACACTAGATTGATTTAGACTTCAGCGGACAACCCATCATGAGATGAGGGACTGTTGAATCTTCATTTTTATTGAAACATGGTTCCATTACAACATCTCTGATATGGTTGACTGCCTTCTGCACCAACAGAGGAGCTTCAACATCCTGCAAGATTCACAGAGTTGATTTGTGCATCGAATAATAAGAGATTGTGCATAAACGCTGCAATACTCACAAGTCAGGCAGTAATGCTAAGGCAGCTCTGTGCATTCTCTACCGAGCCTTCAGTGAACTCCAGACTAACCATCTCAAAGGCGTTTTCGTTGTAGCTATAGTTTTGTTCAGCTGACCTGGAAGCCATTTCACCCAAATTTTACCAGTACATAAACTTTCTGACCAGAGTAGAGAACAAACAGGACCCCACCTCCAGCTCAGCCTCTCAGACCACATCTCAGTACTGCTTATGTCAGCATACAACACACTGCTAAAATAGTCCAGACCAGTCCAGCAACAGTCTGGCCAGAAGGAGCCGCCTCAGCTCTACAGGATAGTTTCAAATTCCCAGATTGGAACACGTTCAAAGAGGCTGCTGCCTTTGCCCATCACTGCTTTGCGTCAAATTTTCTGTTCTGCCAAAAACTGCATTCTGTCCTTGACGCTTTTCTCAGACAGTTTCGCCCCTTTTAACACATCTCCAAGATGCCAAACCAGCCTAGATACCCTACTTGTAATCATCCTTCTAGCTAAAGTCATTTTCCCTGAGCTAATAAATTCTTCTGACATTTTACACAGGTTTTCTCCCCCTGTCATTCAAAGGCATAAATGTCAAAAGGTGGTCATCCCTGCATGAGGTGGTTTTAAGTCTTCAAAATCCTTTACTTTTAGCAATATCACCTGCAGTTTCAAAACTCTGACCTGCTCTCTTAATAGCTGATAGAGAAATGGCAAATTTCTCTATCATTTGGGCCTTGTAAAGGTTACTTTTGTGTACAAGGAGATTATTCAAGTGAATTTCCTAGTTTATGATTTTAGCTAAAAAAAAAAGGCTTAAAAGTGATGTGCGGCTCTGTGGGTTAGGACTTTGTGATGGGAAGGTCACCACTTCAAATCCCATAATCAGCAGAGGAGTCACTTCACTGACAGACCCATAAACAAGGCCCTTTACTCCAACTATATGTCTCATAGGAGAGCAAAATGGGATAGGTGAGGACTAATGAATTGTACTACAAAACGCCAATGTACACAAGTGCATAACCCTAAATAAGGTTTAATGTGAAAGCTACCACATAATCATTTTTAAAATATTTGGGAGAGTATTTATATACCATAACCATTATTTATTAAGTAACCAATTAACTAATATAAAAAAGTATGGAGCTATTTCATATTTATATATCCAAATATTCTTTTGTGTCATCTTCTAAAGCTTAACAAAAAACAAGTTTCATAAAATATTTTTATGATAAATTGCTGGACTTCTGGCCCTGATATGGGATGGCGTCCCATCCTGGGTTATTCCCAAACTTGCGCCTGTAGCTTCCAGGATAGATTCCCCCGCAACCCTGCATAAAACAAGCAGGTATAGAAAAAGGATGGATGGATGTTACACTTCCATGTGTCAGTTAATAGTACAAAGACTTGATGTACTACCGGAGTCTGCCACCAGGGTGCACCTAAATCACTTTATAAGAAAATGCAAGCTGATGCAAGAATCCCTTCTGATGCTGAATAGCTTAGACTAAATATTAAGTTAATCTATATTCAAAATGTAAAAAACAGGACTGCTTTATTTATACCACACCGTTCATCTTCTGTCAACACTGATCTTCATTTGCATCATAGCAAGCTTTCATTATTGCTAGAAATAAAAGATGATTGGTGAGACTATTAGCCATAAACATTTTTCCTTGTTAATATTCATGTAGAGTGGCATGATGGTTAGCACTGTTGCCTCACACCTCTGCAACTGGGGTTTGGATACATGTGTGTGTTGAGTTTGCATATTTTCTCCATGGTGTCATGGGGTTTCCTTCAAGTATGGGTTGTGATATTCTGCCGATGTCCTCCTGTTCCACTGCTGTAGGGTTGCCTGGTAGAACTTGGAATATGTCGGTTCCTCTGTGCGTCAGTGTTTAATTTAAGGTGTATGTAGTTTGTGCAAGACTGTACTGCATCAAAAGATTTGAAACTGCTAGGAAAGTAATCACTAATTTGCAAAATCTGAACAGCTCTTCCAATGCAGAGATGCCAATGCTGGCTCAGAAATTGTAAACCAAGGTGAGGGAGATGGGGAGACCTAAGTGTTAAGCTAGTGCTGCCCCCCCTCTCCTCCAAGCATCTTCATAGTACGGTCTTTGGCCAGCAAAATGGATGAGCTTCAACTCCAGACTACATCGCAGAGAAGGTTTATGGAATGCAATATCATAATTTTCATGGAAACAAGGCTAAACAACAATACACAATAACAGTGTTCTTGAGCTGCACAAACTCAGCGTCTTCAGATCCGACCAAACAACTATGGACAGAGTGTAGTATTATTGGGAGACGCTGTTCTGTTTATCTGGAATACATGATGATAAAATGTAGGCCCTTTTACCTGCCAAGGGAGTTTACAACTGTTGTTGCACCTGCAATGGATATACTACCAGACACTAATGCTAGGCTAGCCATGACAGAGCTTCACATAGCTATTAGCAAACAATAAAATGCACATCCAGATAGAGTCTTTATTATAGCTTAGAACTTGCAAACCAACTTGCGAAATGTACTCTCTAAATTCCAAAAGAATGTCTCCTTCAACACCAGAGGAGACAATACTTTGGATCACATTTATATTAATATTGCAGATGTTTACATAGTACAAAGTCCATCAGTGACGATTAGTAAAATCTGGCCAGTAGGTGCTGATTTCATTCTGCATCGTGAGTTTGAACACATAGACTAAAGGGCATTTGCCACAGAGGGCACCTCAACCTCCTATACAGATATTGAACTACACACATCTTCTGTACCGGGTTATATCAGCAGCTGAATGGCAGACCTGCATCTTTACTTCCTGAGGAGACTGAATTAAAATGTGGTACCTCCGATCCTGACCAGCTTTTACTGGTGCACCACCAGGAGTATCTTGACCACATGTACCGCAGTGTGGTATAAGGACCTCCAGTGGAAGGGATGTATCAATGGAGACTCCTCCCACCAAAACCATATGCTTTACAGAACTGCCATTCTTCTTTACTGCAATCAAAAATACTGTATATACAGGTAGTGTCTAGGATTGTCCAACTAATAGACAACTCGTACTTACGAACAAACTGAACGAACTGCCATAAAACGTATTATATTAAAATTTTGGATTAAACACAATGATTCGTAATTACGCCTTTGTTATGCTCATGAAAACATTGCATGGCTTCAATAGTTCATTGGTTTGAGGTACAGTACAGTACCGTATGTAGTTACTTTTATTAATAATGGATTATTACTATTATTAATATTCTGTACTGTAGTATTATTATTACGACTTACCTACAAATTCTACTTAAGGCCAAAAAGGGTGGGGGCTGAATTATTCTCTCAGTCCAAATATATGTATTCTCATTGTGATTTTGTTTGTGCACCCTGCACAGGACTAGCATGCCATGCAGGTTAAACTAGAGCCATACACTGTAGCTCCATCCATCCATTTTCTTATCCTGCTTATCCTATTCAGGGTTGCGGGGGGTCCTGGAAGCTATGGGTGCAAGGGAGGGAACCACCCAGGTTGGGGCGCCAATCTATCGCAGGGCAAACTCACACACCATTCACTCAAACAAGTGCCATACTATAGCTCATCAAATCTGCAGATTTTCCAAAGCCAGCAGAAACACTATATGGACAAAAGTGTGTGTATATAAATATATATACACACACAGACATAATGAGGCCCAAGTAGAAGTTAGTTTTAGAAAACAAAGATTGGCTCAGCCCTGTAATAATGTTATTTACCAGGGGAATTTTAAGCAAAGTAAGTTTATTTATGTAGCACATTGTCAAACACAGAGGTCATTTAAAATGCTTCGCATGAAATAAAATCTATGTGAAATATATAATAAGAATGTCTTGTACCGAAATGGTTAAAAAATCTGAGAAAACATCTGTTATTTGATTAAATATTTAGTTAAATATGTAATTGGATCTTTTTTAAAAAAATAATTAAAAAAAGCAAATGGAGTGAATTAATTAATAATCTATCAGTTCATCCATTTTTCAGAACTGTTTATTCTACACAGGGTTGGAATGAGACAAAATACTAGGGAGGACAAGACAGGGGATACCCTAAACAGGTTTACATCCACCACAAAGCACAACATTTATTAATAATTCTATAGTCAAATATGAGTATAATTACATTCTTTGTTTTAATATTTAAAGGTGCCTAGAATTGCAGATTCCTTCTTGGTCAGTGTATCTATTAAATTATAAAAGCTAAGGATTGGAATACTAGTCATTATTAAAACCTATAAGTAAGTTTAGGGAAAATTTCTTGCTTACTGTATCACTTTATTTTATGTTTCAGTATAAAGCAAGAATTTTGTGCCCTTTGAGAGGAATTGATATAAAATTTAATGTCAATAATGATTACTTGTACTTCATAAATCTATACAGTTTATATAATCTAGTTCAGGGTTCTTCAAATCTGGACCTCGATTCCAAATCCAGGCCTTGTTTTCAGTTCTCCCAGGTAGTTAGTTTAATAATTACTGATTCTGATTGGTCAGAGGCTTCTCACCTGACTGACAGGTAAAGGAAGGCTGGAAAACCAGCAGTGCTCGGACCTCGAGGACCGTGATTTGAATAACCCTGATCTAGTTTATATATAGTTTAATGGAAAAATGCGCTGTTTAAATTAAGTTTGCGTTAGGTTATTAGAAGTATGCCTGTTGTAAATTTTGTATACTTTTTATTTATTACAGTGAAACCATGATAGTTCAGTCCTGGCCAGTAAATTTACCATATGGTCCTACATTTTAATTAGACACAAACTAGGGAGGGGGGTTACGTGGCAAGGAACTAACAAGACATGAAAGATGCTGTTGGCAAAAATGCTCATTAAAATTCCAGTCATAAATCCAAGCCAGTATCTATTTTGATCTTCAAAGAGATTGCCCATATGTTTTTCTTTTACTCAAAGGGGGTTAAATCATCTTATGACACAAAAAAATTAACTGCATATTTTCAAGGTATAAGATAATTATATGTTTATTTATGTATGATTCGAAAATATTTAACAAAAACAAGCTGACAAAAAAAATCAATTGAAACAGTATTTAATACTATTCTAAAAGCATACTACAGACAATTTTACGCTGGCATACCTTCCTTGAACAAATGGTTATAATAATAAAGGCAACTGACTGAGAAAATATGTGACCCATCCATTTAGCAAGTAGTTAATAAAGAACCTCCTTTATTGAGAATAGCCTCTGACCAGCCTGGGAGGTGATTCGGAGGTACAGTATTTTAGCACATTTATTCTATTCATGTATATTTTTTGGTTGACTTGCTTGAACGCCTTGCTTGCTTGAATTACTTCCAATCACACCATTGCATTTCAATAGGACTGAGACCAAGACTCTGAATTCTATTGTTTGATTTACTCCAGTGTTCTGGATCATTCCTATGTTACAGGAGTTTAACAGTGTCAACTTCTTTTTGCATTTCATATCACAGATAACAGAAACATGTCCTGAAGAACTGCTGTAGGGTTGCCTGGTAGAACTTGGAATACGTCGGTTCCTCAATGATTGCATGCCACCCAGGCCCCGAGGCAGCAAAGCAGCCCCACACCATTATACTTCCTCCACCACGATTCACCTTTGGAATGAGTTTTTGGTGCTGATATGCAGTATCTAGTTTATTCCAAATTTAAAGTTGTCTACTTTTCATTTTTAACTCATCTGGCCACAGTACAATACTCAAGGAGTGTTGTTGTGCATCCAAGTGGTCTTTTAAAACCTAACGACAGGCAGCAGTGTTTTAAAAAAATTTATTTATCTATTTTTCTTGAAGGGCTCCCTTCTTGGAAAACCTCCATGAACGCCACTATTATTTAATATTTTCTTACAGCAGACTCCTGAACACAGACACTAGCAAGTGCAAAAGACGTCTGCAGATGCTTGGCTGTCTTCCTATGGTTCTTATTCACCGGAGAATGAAATGTCCTTACACTGCTCTTTTTAGGACAACCATTCCTAGAACCAGTAGCAAAGGTGCCAAATTTCTTCCATTTTTAAACAAACTGTCCGATTGTGGAGTGAGGGATGCCCAACGTTTTAATAATCCATTTTGATGTTTTCCAGAAACTGTTTTTCTGGGGCTCTCTGAATTCTCATTTAATCGGTACATACGGGACTTGAATTCTGTTCTGAAGCTAAACAAAATAGTTTAAATATAGCAGGATGGGTTAAATCTGCACCTTTTTCAATAGGTTGCTATCCTACAGGTTCACATACCTTTTCTCTCAGTGATGCCGATTGTTTAAACCTTTTGTTTCATTAAGATATGGCAATCTAGAATGTTATTTGTGTATTTCCTTTTATCATATCATGTATTACAAGCAATTTTTGAAGAAATCTGGGTAACCCAGAAGGGTTCCAAATCTTTTTTTCTGCAGTAATGCAAAATAATAATTTAATGATACAAGCAAGATGTAAAAATGTTCTAAGGCAGTTTCTAGTCAACACCTTATGACATTTTTGGTCACAGTTCATCTTATAAATACCAGTCATCTCTCATGAACGTTAACTGATTTCATATGTTCCTATTGGATTTAATTCCAGCAAGAGTTGTCATTGACATCATTAATTAACATAACTTCAGTTGTATACGAAAAGGAAGTGCACCTTTTAAACTTGCATGCAAAGTATGTCATTTAAAACAGAAAGCCGGAATAAAAGTAAATTCTGCTGTTAGTGCTTGACAAGCCCACTGCTGGATATATCTCCCTACCTCCCAGTCCAAAACAGAAGCCTGCCACTGAGCGATCTTGTCAATGTTCTCCAGTCGTCTCCTGCGCTCATTTATCTGCTGAGTGACATTCCTCATGACAGCCAAAGCCGCAGCGACATAGCGGTAGTCACTGCAAGAGACACACAGGGAGAGTTTGAGTCATTCAAGTGTGGTGTCACATTTTAACCTAGAGAATTTTCATTTTGCTATGAAACACATTTCATTCTCATCCACCCTTGAATCCTTGAATCTGAAGGGTGTTGATTAATTTTATATAAGCACACATGTAGTGCCGGCCAGGCAAATCATAGCAGTAAATCAATGCCCAATTATAATCTTTAATTTACTTGATGAAAAATATAAATGCAAAGAAATTGGTACAAATCACACAGACAACAACAGTCCTTCAAACTAAGGACCAAAACTAGGACCTGTGGTCAGTGATTAAATTAATTGTCACAAAGTCTGCTGCCTCAGTTTTGATGATCGAGATTTGCATATACTCCAGAATTTTATGAAGAGTGATCAGAGTTTCTGAAAAACAGTCATTTTGATTGTTTACAGCTGTTTTTACTGTTTTTTTTCCCATCTTTTTCACTAATTTGACAGTCAAAAGCTTGTTTATGAACACCATTTTATTTTATATCTTTATTTTATATATATAATTTCTAAATCATTACATTTTTACTTCTTATAATAATATTTGAAGAATACAAGTGCATTAAGCAACTTGTCTGAGAGACGCAATTTTAATTTTGTACAGAAATTCGTACAGACCGAAAAAACTCTTTCAACGTCCGTTGATGTCAGTTTAATGGATAGAATTGCTTTGTGCAATTTCTGGAGATTTTCAGTGTACTGACCAGAGTTTCTGAAGAGCGTGAATTCGGACTTGAGCCATTTGCCTTCACACTGCAATTTATGATCCATCTTTTTGAAGCAACAAATTCAATTCATCTTGAAGAGACAAGTTCACACTTTCATTTGACGACCGTTCAACGACTTCTTCTACATCGTTTACTCCAAATAGACGAGACACTAGAAGTCCTGCGAAATTTAGTGTAGTGTTTGACGGGGCGACAGACGGATCTTGAGACTGCGCAAAAAGTTTATGACATCCTTGTTGAATCGCTCTTCAACGCGACACTTCAAATTTTCCATGAGCTTGGTACTAATGTCATTATTCAGGCTAGAGAGCTTGTTGAACATGAATTCTAAAATTGTGTCAGCACTCATCAACATCGCGTCTTCTCGACTTAGATTCTCGACAGCAAGTTTCACCAGTTCCATTGCCTTCAGAAGACATTATTTCGAACAGTTGATTTTTTGATGAATTTTACCAGCTTGCGTGATTTCTTGAGCAGATCATGGTAAACAATGTCTCCTTCTCATCGCTGATCACTTCCAAGTCTGTACCTGCTTCAAAATTGTCCATCTCATCAATATTGTCACTATCCAGGTTTAAGTCGTCCATCTCAGTACTCTTCTTGTACAATGTGTCACATACTCCAAGGTGCAGACCATGGTTTAAGCAGAACTGTCCGATGACATCGATGTGGCAAATGTATTTATTTACTGCAGCGCCATCCTGAGTAGATCCAACCAAATCCCTCTCCATTGTTATTCCAAAAACGTCATACCGAGAGCAGTGCACAAACCAAATATGCGAACAAGACCCATCGCGATTGTTGTTTTATCGCCGATATCATGAAGGTTGACTCCGAAGAATCGACGTCCTCTCACGGTTGTGTATTCATCCACAGTCATGCTAAACTTTACTCCTCTCTCGAGTTTTCCCTTGATGTCGACAATCATTTTGTTTCTTTTCGTCATAATCATCATGCACCAGCTTCATCACATCGCTTTCGTTCGCTGGAAGTTTGAATCCGTCCCGTGAGGAAATCGGCAATCGTTTTCGTTCACGGGCTCTTCCTTGGAGGTACACAGCAGGTTTACCTAAATCAATTCCATGCATTTTCAGATGATTCTTCAATGTTGTCGTGGAGTTTCCAGAACATTTGATTATTTTATTACATCGTCCACATTGACCTTAGCAGAAATGAATTATTCAGTGGTTCTTGCGTATAGCCTATAGGCCTACTCAATACTAGACCGAAATATTATACTAAAGAATAACAGACGCTGGAGCCATTTTTGTTCATAGCCGGAACTGCTTTTTATATTCATAATGCCATACTAACGAACATAGAAAAGTGTTTGTTTTTGCGTATGTGCAGTTTAAGTGCTGTGTTTGCTTTTTTTTACCTTTAGTTAAGTGACTGTGTTTCCTGAATGTCCCATGCATGCAAGGGTTAAATTAGCGGAGAATAATCAAATATAAAACAATTATCACAAGAGCTGTGACTGTGTTAAGCAAGTAATAAAACAATTCCAGTAATATAAAAAACAATATGGATCAATGCTGCTTGGACCCCAAATAACAGGATCTTTCTGTAAACAATCTCTGACCATGAAAAAGGTAGATAATTCACTTACAGCTAAACAGGAATCAATATTTTTTCGCACCATGAATATAACATTTTCCTTGGGCTTCACGTGTTTCTTGTTTGTGGGCATATACGCAGCTGCCTTGGGCCACTCCTGTTTGGTGAGCATGACTGGCATGTGAGGAGCATGGCCTTCTGATTGGTCAGCATAATTGGCAAGCGAGGAGCATGGCACTTCTGATTGGTGAGAATGGCTGTTACACATGGAGGATGGCATGAATTTGTTAAACTGTTCTCCTGACAGTTTTAAACCCTGGGTCAGACATGCTGTTTAATACATATCTCAAATTGCAGCCTTTGCAATTTGCCAATTGTGTGGTTTCAGATCACATGTGTGTTTCTGACTGTACACACACAAGCTCAATTTAGAGGCCAAAATTGATTGCCTCAAAAGAACAAAAATATAACAAAAAGTTGTTAAACTAGCACTTTAAATGAAGTTAAATATTTATTAAAACACTAGATTATAACACTAACACTACACATTAACTAACACTATTAAGAGCATGCATACAAATGGCAATGAAGCTAACAAATAATGGCATCTACTGTATATATTGCCTGGCTGGCCCCATTAGCCTCCTCTCCCATATCTACTCCCTACTTTTCCCTTGCCTCCCAACCTCTCTAGTCCACCCCCAGAAGGCTTGGGCAGTACAGAATTTTTCATACCGTCACACCATCTGTACAATATACCACAGTATATAGTGTTTTGGCAGTAGTTTCAAAAGCAGTTCTAGCCATGCTTAATTTAGGTGAGCAGGGGATTCCCTCACGATAAATTTCACAGAATGCTGTAGAATAGTGAGAAAATCATCTCACACCCCTAGACTGAAAATCTTTTAAAACTGAAAAGATCTGACAAATTATTTTCAGTTATCATGCTGTCAAGATCAAATGTCTGAAGCTGCCCTTCTCTTTTCTATCACTAGATAGCAAACAACATTTAATCAGGTCCAGATATTCACCTTTACAATATGTCTGTGAAGGCTGAAAACTTTGATCATTTCCAGATCTTCACCAATACAATGTATGTATAAAAGATATGTGCAATACTTTTAGTTACTTTGTTCAGAAGACCAAGTGTCTTCTACAGCCTCCCTTCCTTTGCTGTCACACAGTGTTTTTTTTTTTCAAAATGAATTAAGGTGTAGATCTTCATCCATAAAGTTTGAAAAAGATCTGTCAAATACTTTTTGAGTTATACTGCTAATGGGAACAAGTGTTTGAAACTGTTCTTTTCTTTGCTATCATTATCCGGCGCTTCTTTAATTTTGGTGCGATCTGTCTCCATGTACACGATCAAGGTATTTTTAATAACAAAAATAACAAAAACAAAAATGGGAAAACACCCATCAGGCTTTGCCTTGAACAGCCAGAGAACAACAATACAAATGTGCTGGCACAGACCAGGAATGGAGACAGGAGTGCTGGTGGTAGCAGGACCGGAGACAGGGGCACTGCTTTTCCCATCTGAAGTCCTGTCAATGTCAGTCCCTGTCCTCCAGGTTCTGTCCTTGTCCCTGTCCTCCATCTTCCCAGTTTCCTCGCCATCCTTGGCACTGTCTTCAATCTCCTGTAATCCGGGGATTCTGGGCAGCCGCCAAATGTGTTCCAACTGGTTCGTGCCACCTAAAAAGGGGTTCCCACCAGGGAGTGGAGCACTGTGGTTGCTCACATCTTGTCAACCATCCAGTTTTTTGTCCTGTTCCGAGGCCAGCACAGGCCAGTAATCCAGGTACTGCAAGCAGAATCCAGGAAGTAACAGTCCGTGCCATCTCCAATGGGTTGCCCGCAAGGTGGCAGAGCTTTATGCTGTTCCCCGTGCCTCAGGAGGGGGGTACTGTCAGGTTTACCTATTTAGTCAGTGTATTCCCCTGTACTTGCCATGTGTTATCTGTAACACCGGTGATATAAATGGCAAGGAGGATGCAGATGTGGGGTCACAAGGATTAAAAACAAAAATACCTAAATCAAAGATGGAGAAAACAACCCTTAGGGTGTAACCCTTGCATTAAACCCTAAATAGCCAGAAACCAACTATATGAAGGATTGAGGACATAGCGTGGGGGCAGGATGCTGGTTAGCTGTGGGCGGCGGGCAGGCAGCAGCAGGGCTCAGACAGAGCAGAGTCACTGCTGAGGATGGAACCTCTGAAAAGGACTGGCTGAGTGCGCAGCACCCGGAGGAAGCGAGTGCTCTGGAAACCAGGAACAGAGTAAAACGCAGCGAGCACAAGGGGAAGGCGCAGACTAAATAGGCAGGCCTCGCACTCAAAATTTGATCTGTTCCAGTTCGTCGCACACAAGATCAGTCTTTAAAATTTGCGCAAAAATCCAATAAATACCTTTTCTGTATCTGTATCAGCAGTTGTATCAGAATCGGATCAGAACTGAAAAAATGTGAATCAGCCCATCCTTAGTCTTCGTGCCTGTTCCAAGTCCTCCTGTTCCAGTTCATTTATACCTTTTGTGCATTAAATGCAATAAAACTACTTCTGTTTATTCACCAGGCCTGCCCCCCTAGTCCTTCGTCCCGATGGCCACGACACCTGGTCATTGGAAATGACCTAAACTACACTGTTTGAGACAGGAGCTTGCAAAAATCGATTGTTTTACATATAGGAGAAATATGTCATCTTTTATATAACATGAGGGATCATCTTCGAAGACTCAATCCATCTTGCTGCAAGTTTGACAGGCTGGATCATGTGAATATTAAGAATGATAATTTGAGTTGTAATAGTATGCTGGTCTATGATGACACATAATTGGCGAATATTTAGAAATGTTAGAATTGGGAGCTCGATGACATCAGAAGCTTTTCCAGAATAGTATGTAGTATACGTAAGTATAAGCTGTGCCCTTGGCAGTGTAACCAGCAGTCTTAATTATCTTCAACCAGAAACCAGTAGAAACTGTCAAAAACAGATATTCCAGCATCTATGGAGCCAAGTGAAGAATGACTAGTTCAGAGTGAAAGTGAAAGATGATAGATTCACCTTGTCTTGAGACATTGACTCTCACTGGGATTTTTATAGAGTAGAAGACACCCTTCACCAGTCTCCAAAGGTCTTCGTCTAACATGATCGTAAAGTGTCAGGTGTATGATTACCATATTGTCACATAAAAAGCACATGGAGGCCGAAGTAATCAGCATACGATGCATTTGTTGAAGTAATCAACAGACCTCAGGTACTCAATCGGTAGACACCGTCTACATACGAACTGCATGATCGATTCCCCTTCCCAGAAAATTCTTTCAGGGACAGTGGACCTTGGCTCTGTGTTACCATGGGGAAGAATAATTGAGTATCCCTAGAATAGACATTTGTTGCCTATGCTGTTTTGTCCTATTTAGGGTTGTTAGGATCTGGAGCCTTTCCCAGAAACAACATGCACAGGGTGTAACCCAGGAATGGGTTGCCAACTCATCCCAGGGGACACACACACCATTCACACCTACAAGAACCCAGAGGAAACCCCACAACAGAATGGGGAAAACATTCTAACTCCACACACATAGAGCTGCAAATCATACCCTGGTTTACAGAGGCGTGACCACACTAAACACAGCACCACCATGACTTCAGTCCATCAGTATGTAAGTTCTTTGCATGAATGCATTATGATTACTGTAAGGAAAGACAAATTGACATTTTTTCATAGATGTTTTGAATGCATGTTTGCCAAATCTGGTGACTCTCCATGAGCCTGGACTCCTCATGAATATATCATTTACTGTATGGCATCTGTTGTAGGCAGAGTAGTACAGTGTCAAAAGGTGAAATACATTTTTTAATCAAATGAAGCACATCATTTTCGTTTTTAAAAAAAGCTGCATAAACTGATTTAGTTGATGTAATTAATGTTAGCTTCTTTCTCACACAGGCTGTTTTTTGGTTCTGAACACACGACATGCAGAATACTCTTCTGCTTCAAAACTTTATACCCCCAAAGACAGTCCATGTGTGAACTGATCCAGACTTGTTCGGTAAAAAAAGTATATACCCAGGTATTCTCTAGCATGGTTTGAAAAATTACACCCACAATTTTTATGAATTTCCAGCTAAATTTGTGGCTATAAATAAGACCTCCTACATTTGCACATCCATAAAAACATTATGAAAATAAGCCTTACCAAAATTGGTCTGTATATGTTTGGCATACCTGTGCTCTTGGACGGTGTACTTCAGCAGCTCCGCCAGCTGCAGTGGATATTTGCAGATCTTCTGAATCGGTGTTAACAGAAAACCATCAATGGCTATGTCAATCATTTGCTGCAGGAGACGACAGGCTTCAAAGAAGTGCTGGTATCGGCTATCCCTCATTAGCTTGGACAGCTCCATGCATGCATCCAGGTGATTGTTGCAGTATTCAGAGTAAATCCAGAAGCCATCTTGCTGCAGAACAAGAGACAACACTCAGCATATCATCTGGAGAACCTGTGTATGTATGATCCTTTATCGGATAACTGGTTGATAATTATTGATAGCTGATGTTGTGACAGAGATGTCCTCATATCTGGAATTCGAGTAACAGGCATGGTGAAGTAACCAGCACAATTCATTTGAATAGGAAAAATAAAAACTCAAAATTCACAAGTTATTATACTAGGTTATAAAAATTTCACATATATATATATATATATAGTAGACTTAGGAGTCTTCTCGACTACTTTTTAATTCTCCCAGACTTAGGTGATACTTTTACTGCTAAGGGGCTTTTGTGAATTTGTGAATTTAGGACTGACACAGCCATAATTTTTAGGAGTTTCTCCTAAATTGGCAAGTTAGAAGCTACTTTTAGCCTCACAACCATGCTTGAATTTGGGATAATGATAAAAGTTACTAAGTAAATATTATGACTAAGATATACATATTTATATATTTCTATGTATATATATTTAAATGTATCACTTGCAGTATTGAATTTGAATGCTTGCTATGTCATTATAAAGCTAAGAGTGTCTACCAACTGAACAACTACTGAGAAAAAAAGAACATAGAAATCTTCAGTAACTGAAACTGCAGAACACTTCCAAACAACTTATAATGCTCACAATCTGCGTCAATTTCATTCTGATAGCACAGTTTCCATTAGTTAAATCCTGAATACATGGAGAGAGCTGTAATAAATTACTGCAAAGGTTTTCACATATTTTAAAAAGAAAACTCACATGTTCTAGGAAGCAAGGCCCGATTTCACTGAGATGTGGTTCCTCTGTGTTATATTGCTTCTCCAAATCTCGAACAAACCCCATTTGAAATCTGTAGATGTCTTCAATATTCCCAAATATTACTTTAAGCTGTTCATCACTGAACATATCTCTTCTTTTTTTGCACTGTTTCAGATAGCCCTGAAATTAAAACAAAGTTAAAAAGTTCCAGGCTACAACAAAAGAAGTCCACAATAACATTAGTAACTCTAATACAAAGAGAGTTCATACCATACAAAGAAAAATAAAACACAAACTAACAAAATGATTTTTTTCCTCTGTCCAAAGGTTTTGCTAAAATATTCAAATAATTAATGAAAAACAATGAAGTCTATTAAACGCATCAAGTACACTTAAATAGCTAGTTAAGCATATAACGGTAATAACACATTTCTAATGCTTACTAAGTTTTACTATGTATAATACAAATTGCCAAAAAAAATAAAAACAAAAATTATCTTGGTTGAAATACTTTAAAACATCTTTAAAAACCTACCATCAAATGGAAGACCATTTAACGAAATGTAAATGCAGAGTGTGGAGAGTGCCTATTCCATACTCTACCTACACGCTGTGTAAAGAAGTGTTTTCTCAAATTCAGTTTAAAATGTTCTGCCGCTAATTTCCACCTATGGCCACGAGTTCTAGTATTTAAACTAATACTGAAGTAGCCATTTGGCTGAACAGCATCCAGACCTGTTAGAATCTTATACACCTGGATCATGTCCCCCCTTAGTCTCCTTTTATCGAGGTTGAACAGATTCAGCTCAGCTAACCTCTCCTCATAAGACACTCCTCTAAGGCCAGGAATCATTCTTGTAGCCCTACGTTGAACCTTTTCCAAGGCAGCAATGTCATTCTTAAGGTATGGTGACCAAACCTGCACACAATATTCTAGGTGGGGTCTTATCAAGGAATTGTATAATCATAGCATCACCTCCTTGACTTAAACTACTACCTAGAGATGTAACCCAACATCCTATTGGCCTTTTTTATTGCTTCCCCATACTGGCGAGAGTAGGACATGAAAGCATCAACATACACACTGAGATCTTTCTCATAATCAGCTACCTTTATTTCAGTGGAACCCATAAAATGTTTGTACTTTATATTTCTGTTCCCTGCATGGATTACCTTACATTTACCTATGTTAAACTTTATCTGCCAGGTATTAGCCCAGTCGCTAATTAAATCCATATCCCGTTGTAGCCTCTGTGTTCCTAGTTTAGTATCTGCTACACCACCCACCTTGGTGTCGTCTGCAAATGTAATCAGTTTACTGTATGTATTGGTGTCAATATCATTAATGTAAATTAGGAACAACAGTGGTCCTAAAATTGAACCCTGTGGTACCCCACTATGAACGCAGGCCCACTGTGAATTGTGCCTCTAATAACTACTCACTGCTTCCTGTCTGTTAACCAGTTTTTGATCTAAGCTGCTAAAGTTCCTAAAACCCCTGCAGCTTTGAGCTTAAGCAAGAGCCATTTGTGGGGGACAACATCAAAATTCTTCTTGAAATCTATGTACAGTAGATGACATCGTAGATTACCTTTTTGTGATCAATTTCTCTTGTAGCTTCCTCAAAGCTACAATTATTAGGTATTACTTCTATTAATTCAAGTCCACCAATACTTTCTGAACACAGAGAAACTGTGTGGAAAAACACAGCTTTCCCAAAACTCCTTCATTTCCTATTTCAATTTTGGTAGCAATTTTTTATTCATTTTCTCATTATTGAAAATATTTTGTAATGCTTTGGGGGTGTTGGGGAGTAGCTAACTATAATTAGCGTTGCTACTAACTTAACTGCTTCTTCCAGTAGCTTATAAGTAGTGCAGCTACTTTTAAAATGCTATAGCTTTTCTAGTAACTTTTTATTTTTTTTACAAATAGCAATGTAGCGTCGCAAAACGCTACATGATTAAAAAAATATTACAGGTCATTGTCGACTTCCGATCTAATCAATTTACTGACAACCATTTCGAGACTGCAGATATGTGGGCGTGATTGTGCAGTGTCTGGCAGCACGGGTGTTAACCCCTTGTGCGTGTATGACATTTTCCGCCTCGACTTTGGGCAGCGCGAGTATCTGCGTGAGACGCCCATTTCTTCATCTCCTGAACAGGCTACTGTTCGCACAGTACAGTATACATTCATATCCATTTGTGTAACAATAATGAATTTAGAAAATGGTCATAAAAAGGTTAAAAAACACCAAACGAATTGACTTAAACATGTAATCATTTATGCATATAAAATAAAGAGGCGACATGACCAAATCGACTTACGGCCAATCGGAACAGATCACGGTCATAAGTCGATTTTTGTTTTATAATGTCTTTTTAATTAATACTTCAGTAATGGCCTGTATTATTTTTCTTTCTTTACAAAGATGGGTATTTTCAGGTACCAGTTTCTGATTGGTGTTTTTTGCTTGAATTGTCTGGGGATGGATGTTAAGAGTTAAAAAATACTTCACAGCTAACAATATTTTAGACACTTTAATTAAAATGCATAGAAGCACTTTGGTTCTTGGACAGATTATCAAAATCTTTTTATGTTGTAACCCTGCTAATTTTCGCACAGCAATTGTGAAGTACTCTGTTTACACCAAACAAAGAAACTTTTTTGAAACCATACTGTGATTTGACATTACATTGTGAAAAAATAGATTTCCATATTACTTTTATAATCATGTTTCATGATTTTTTATTAATTTGCTTTAAGAATATCTTGCAGCACAAAAATAAGTAATACTGGATGAAATAGCGTTGATGTATTTAGCTACTTTTTCTATGTAGCTTGTAGTGTAGCTAACTACTACATTAAAACAATAGCTTGGCTGTAGCTTAGCTACTTTTAATCATAAGTAGCTTGTAACTTGAAAAGCTACCATTTAAAAATAGCTTCCCAGCCTTGGCCATGGGTGCCTAACAAAGATGACAACCACTGGGAAGAACAGGGACCGAGAACTAAAGTTCAGGATTATGGTAAAAACGACAGTATTATAATTTTAAAGCAGTTCAAATACTGTAATCATGTGATCTGCACAATGTACTGATTAATCCTGTTTAGCTATTCAACATTATATATTATTAGACAAGAGAAATTCTGAAATATAACTTAACTAAATAAACACGCAGAGGAAACTTGGATGATTGCGGTTTGATTACCTCACATATGTCCTTTAGGTGCTTGATGTAGTGTCTTTCTGTGCTCATTATTTCATTGATCACATTGGCTCTCATCTGGTCCCGATTCTGGAGGGGCCGGCCCACACACAGACAGTCATTGCTGGAGTCCAGATGGCCGTTTTGCACCTCATTTGTGTCCACGGTCTCCACAGCTCCATCTTCCTGGTTCACCCAAGGCTTGTGGCAACAAAAGGTTACAGATAAGCAGAGCACAGGACACACTTACAGAAATATCATGGACACAAACAGTCCTACCAGCAGCAGAATCATATTGTGCTTCAGAATCTCTCTGTATTATTATGTCAAATAAATGAATGAATTACATTTCATTTTTGGAATGTTATTTCACATAAAAACACAGAGCAACAAATATTCCTCACCAGATGCAAATCTGATGAAACTTCAATTAATATGTTAAACTGCGCACCTTTCGCTTGAAAACAAATGATTGGGAAGTAGTATCCAAGAAATAAACCATTAAGAAAAGCATTAAAAATACAGAGATTGTGTGTTGTACAATTAGGCCCAGCTTGAATTGAGGCCCAGAAAGAATTAGCGCAATTAAATTCAAATACCCTATGACTGTGACTAGGATAAGCAATTTGAGTTTAATACTCTTCTAGTAAAGCACAAGTGTTAAGCCTCCTTATTTTCTAAACCAGAGCAAGATGTATCAATGAACCAACATGAGGAATAAGTGCAATCCAATGCTGAGGGATTTTTTCCCCCAAATTCGGTAATAGCTATACGAGTTTTATATGTAACTCCCTAGTTTTGGTAGCTCATTATGTATGGGAGGAAGACATTTCACAGCCTCTCAAGAGTGCTTTCCATTGTTTGGCACATTTAGCCACATTACTTTCCAAATACTTATAGACTATTCCTGAAGTAAACCACAAAGAGCAGTTATGTAAACCCTACACAAATATCACAATTATTTAGAACCTAATCCAGGAATGAAATTTATATTAAATATAAAATCTATATTATATATGATATAAAATTATTTATATTATTTATGAATAATATTATATTATACTGTAGTATAATGACATAGAACGCAACCTCTAGTCTTCCAAATTTTTAATTGTTGCAGGTATAAATATTGACTCTAGATAGGAGCATCAGAATAAATTGTAGCCTACATCCCTACAAAATAAAAAACTCTGAATTATAATGTTATGACTGAAAGAAGTCTCAAAAATAATTTTAATTAATATTAAATATGCTGCTTATAAAACAGGCGTAAAATTAATTTCACTCAGCAAAAATGAATGGTTCCATTCTTTGTGTATTGATTACAGTCAGTTCTTCTGAGCATTCAACTATTACTTTACAGTCCTTTTTCTTCACAAAACGTTCTAAGGAAAAAGTATATCAGCAGGTCTTAATGGAAAGACAGGAATGTTATGCAAATATAAATTTATATTGCAGTTAGTGTCCAATTCATAGGTCATTATTTCCAGTTTGCAGAGTTTTAGAGAAAATGCTGCAGCTAAAATGTAGACCTGTCTATGTGAGATCCAAGGGATATTTTATTGAAGTGTTCACATTGAGGCTCCTTTGCTGAATGCTTTGAGACTGAAAGATTTTCATTTACCACTTCAGTTATGAATGATTATCCATCCCGTTACCTATAATTTAATAATCTGTGTTGCTTTTAGGAATAATGTTTATTGTAGTGATTTGTAAGTTTATGTATTTGTTGTTTGATTATGTTTTCATTTTCAATATTTATAAGGCATAAAGAAAAAGGAATTCAAGCAATTAACACATAATGATTGTTCTGTTAAAACGCACCTTGGCAGCTGTATTTTGAAGTCTTGGAGTTGCTATAGGGTTGAGATAGAAAACTTGTTTTGTTTGAGGTTGCGGGGGATGGGGTTCAACCTTTGAAAAGAACAAAAAAAACATACACTTTGGTTAAAAGCTCATAAGATATATCTAAATATTTTCTAACATTGGTCATTTTAGTTATTTGTGCCCCAGGACTGATTTTGTTATGATTTTGTTAACCTTATGCAAATCATGTTCCTTTGTGTTTATGTACTCCGGTTTGGTCCTTGGCTTTAGTGTCTTTGTTCTTGGTTAATGATGTCTGTGTCTAATTTGTATTTATGTCCTGTGATTCTTGGTTGGTGTTAGATGTTCCCTGTTGTAACCCCTGTTGAATCTTTTGTCTTGAGTTTCGTTTGGAATAAAGTACCCTGAGCTTGAAAGCTGCATGGTGGACCATCAATCATGCTTAGACATGACACAATTTATGCATATAGTACAACAGTATGATTAAACTGCAAAAGGCCATACATCACACAAAACTATTAACTCATGCCTCAAAAGAAAATAATTCTATCAATAAATTACTCAGTGGCACTAAAATGAAAAGTAACTTCAGGATCGTTTTTACAATGAGAGTCAAAATTCTTACTCATATTTTTAGCGTAAACATGCTCCAGAGCTCCACAATTCTGAATGACAGTCATTTCTCACATTCTCATTGTTACTCTCTGATCATTCTTCTTTAGCAAAGTGATACTTACTCATGTCACAGACACCAATTTCTACATTGCAAGGCTCTACATTACAATATATAAAGTTCACTGGTAAGAGAAAACACTTTCATGCAAATGTAGCTTCTTCAGATATCAAGACAGTACCTTAGCAAATAAAACACGCACACACATCATTTTGTATAACACCAAAATAGCAAATGGCAATGCAAAAACAATGAAATGGCTACAAAGTCATGTGGTGGGGACCACAAATACAACAGTGATGATAATTATACAATGGCATTTGCATACATGTACTGCAACATTTGCAATTAGTGTGAAACAATGAGAAATGATGTGACATTATGATGTGGGGATTACACTTGCTGTTTTGAAAATGTTATTTTCTCTTTGAGAAATATGCCAAAGGTATTGAGAAAAACTGTAAAGGATTTAAAACAAAAAAGACAAACTCAGACACAATAATGTTAATGTCCTGTCATTCATCCCACTACAAGTTATGGAATATACACTGGAATATACACTTGCATCATTCTAAAAGATTGGTGAACTGTTTTGCATCTAGTGGTTAACACAGCAATCAATTACATATATTGTTTTGGGTGTAAATTACTTCACTGGTAAACTGTATAATCCACTGCTAATTATGCCAAATGATGACAACTATTTGTATATATGCACTAAAACATTGCCAATTTGTAGAAAACAATGAGAAATGTGTTTCATGGTGTGAGGATTACACCATGATTGTTTTGCAATCGTTATTTGAGAAATGCACCAAGGCATTTGGAGAAAAAAAAAAACTATAAACGAAAGGGATAAATATCTTTAATGTGCAACTTACCCTGACAAAGCTGGCAGGAAACCATCCCTCTTCATCATCAATCTGCCCCCACCACCAGTCCTTGTTAGATGCATCCAAAACTTTGATGACGTCCCCAGCCTTAAACGCCAACTCTCGGTCGGCCATGGTGACATGATCCCATACTGCTTCAGCGTTAATGACTGAACCTCCACTAATCAGCTGGATGAGACAGGAAGACAGAAACTGATGCCGTGAATTGAAATCTAGCATGTTGTCCGTTGAACAAGATCCCCTGGTGTTTTGCCTCACAATGAAGTGCTCTCTGTGATCCAGTTTAATAAAAAAAAAGAAAGACGTTATCTTTACAGACTTGTTTTTAGGGGAAACAGTCAGGGTTAAAAAAAGGTATTGTTTTATGAACTGATTGATATACGAACAAAAACACAGACAATAATAGAGTCTGTAGAATGGAACATTATAAATGTAGACATTGTTTTTCTTGCTTAATTATGTTTTGGTAACCATAAGGCATCAAGCTTATACCAAAATTATAATCAACATAACTATAATTAACTCTGCGGCACAAAAACAGAATACAATATGCAAAAAAAGATGTACAATTTTGAAGACTTCAATATTATTATGTAACTGACCATGAGCAAAAAATGCCAAGAGGTACTACACATGAAAACAGACTGCTGCTGGTTATTACTACTGCTCTAACCTGCTTAGTAACTATGACCCAAGGAATTTTTATTTTTATATCAGTTTATATAGATAATTATCACAATATAATTCAAGTCATTATTTCTTTACTTCAAGGCTCCGTCTCTCATTAAAATACCCATAGGATTCCCCTTAAAAGATCCAGAACATGAAAAAGATGACAAACTGAATGAAAGCAAACCGAAACCTAATTTGAATAAATAAATCATGCAAAAACAAACTTCGTCACAGGGCATAACACTAGAAAACAGCGACAATCCGGATTGTTGCTGGGTTTTTCTCTGACTGCCTCGCTGCTGGTTCAATGGAACAGGTTTGACATTGCTGGTAGTTTATTGCTCCAATCCCATTTTTAATCGATAGGGGACACATGTCCCATGCTTCTTCAGATTAAAAGTGGAAGCCCTAATTGCTGGTGTTTGTAACTCTAGCCACTTGCATTTTGCATGGTATACTGGATAGCAATGCTTCACGTGGTGAAATATGTATTTCCAGTTTTAGTTAGTGCAAGTTTTCAGCACTAGTCTGTGTTTGCTGGACTTTAAATGGTCCACCTACTGCTGTACCACCAACATCTCTTTAACATTCTTTTTATCCAAAACATCTCTTTTTTAATAAAGCTGTTGCGGCTGCTGCCCTATTGCTATTTGCAATAAGTCAATAAGTCGCCCAGATTTACTATGACCCAACTATCATCCAACAGTGCTGCTTACTGAGCCACATTGGCACCCTTTATTACTTATAACTACTAACTACTACTATAACTACTCCAAGGAAAATTCAAACCACGAGCAAACATCAAATACATTATGGGAAACAACGCTGATTTCAATACCTGACATGGTCAATGGCGGTTCAAATATAATAAATTATAATAAAATTTAATACATTTTCAAAATTGTTGTTTTTCTAAAAAATTTTAACTGAAAGCTCCCAACAGAAAGCTGAGTAATATGATTTGGTATATATACCTTCCATTGGTATATATACCTTCCATCCACATTCCAACCATTTCTTATCTGGTACAGGGTCCTGGAATCTATTCCAAGCAGCCTAGGGTATATGCTGAGGTACACCCTGGGTGGGCTACCAGTCCGGCACAGGGCATGCACGTAATTTCAAGACACCAAAACACCTAAATGCATGAAATGAAGGGGAAGCCCAGGATACCCAAAGGAAATCCATGTTACGCAGAAAGAACAGAGAAACTGCATACAGAGAGTTGGAGCAGAGAGTTAACCCTGGAGTAAACAGGCCCGTCTACTGAGCCACTACTAGACATTTTAAAAATAAAAAAGTCAAAAAACACAGCAAAACTTATGCATTCCCAATAACTCATCAGTAATCAGCAAATGATAAAAGCTTTTCCTGGAAAATTGTAAACCATAACCAGATGCATATGTACTGGAAATTTATATTATTGAGGCAGATACAAGATGTTAAATTTATAGATGGTGAATATATATATAATTTTTAAAGAAAAGTGCTGTAGTGAAAATCATATAGTGTATTACAACATGCTATTAATTCCACACAATATAAAAGTATAAGAATTTAATTGTGCAGTGTAACTGTAATGCAGCCCCCAAAGTGCGTATTATGTTTTAATTGTTTTCAAAGAAGAAGTTAGGTTGAGGTTATTTTATTATGAGAGACTGTTCCAGAAAAAAAAATCCCACAACTCGGATACAGATGATAAACAGCAGCCATTAAATCTTGTCACAGATACTGAAGACCTAAGACATTGCCTTGACTTGGTCGCTTTTGGACATTGACTTCACTTCACTTTAGTGCTGGTTTCCCTTGGCTGCTTGAAAGTAAAACTATGTTCACGGTTACTTGTATACTGAGGTTTTATGTGATTTTTCCATCCATTATTTCTCTCTGGAATCATGCCCATTACACAATTCTGCAACTGAACCCAATAATAAGAATGTTTTTCCTGCCTTAACTCTGTGTTCTTACTCAACTTACTGCAATTGAAATAGCTTCATAGTTCTTTCACCAGACTTTATACTATTTGCCAAAATTTTCATTCTCATCTCCATGTGCTTCAGGGTTACTTAAAATAGTAATTAAAAAACATGGTCATATTCAAATTTGTACCGTAACTGAGCTATTATATTTGAACAATTAGAATTTTTTTTCTCATTGTAACCACCAACTGTGAGGGGCTGGCCCCCCATCCTGGGTTGTTCCTTGCCTTGTGCCGTAGCTTCCTGGATAGGCTCTGGACCCCCTGCGACCCAGAAGGATAAGCAGGTTGGAAAATGGATGGATGGATGGATGTAACCACCAAATGCAGTAATATGCCAATAAATTGAATGATATGCTCTAAACAGATCTAAATGTTACATAATTTCCCAAAATCTTTAAAATGGTTGTGAAATTCTTCCTTGATCTGTACCTTTATAGAACGTTTTCCTCATTTTTATGATTGCAACAGTGGGCTATTACAAATCCATCCATTTATGAACACAGAAAAACGGAACCACATGATTTTTCACTAAAGACGAAAGTCCCTGAAACTCATACATACAGAGCTGAGAATGGGAACTAAAGCCCATCACCCTGGATCTCTGACGTTACAATTCTCTGCACCAACCCACTGCACTGCAAAGACATTAACATCAATCCATCCATCCATTTTCCAAACCGCTTATCATTCTTTTAAAGTAATATTACAGGCAGGTGGGGAAAACTTAATTAATTAAGCAAATGTACGAGTTTCTACATTAACATGGAAACGCCATATTACCTGTTATTTAATGTATAGAGTGAAAACCTACTATGTAGGGCTTCCTCAATTTTTCATTAAAATTATTAATTCATCCTAAACTTGAAGATTAAAGGTCTTTTTCAACCGAATTTTCAAGATCATTTTGCTTGTGGGGTCACAAATAAGTTAGCAACTCGGTTACTGTTCTAGTGTAAGTCATTTTCTTCAGGAATACTCAGTTCCTGCTTTCTCAAAAATGTATGTCACTTACAACATGTGCCTACTAAATAAGTAAAATGTGAAAATGCACATCACAGAAGTCCCCTCTATACCTCTGCCCCAGTTCACAATCCTTATGGAAATCTTCAGTTTCTTCAGTTCAAAAACTAGAATTTCGTACAAATTCAATTCAATTCAATTCAATTCAATTCAATTTATCCACAAGGGGCAATTAAAAAGTTACAGCCTAAACTGAACACTATATCAGTGAATAGTGCATAACCTCAGCTACGCATGTTGTACATTTCTCTCCATTGTTCATGAAAATTCTGATCATAACAACTGAAAAAGACTAATAATTAACTAAAAAAACTATAGTTAAAAGCTGACTGAAAAAATCATCATTATCACTGCCCCCTTAAAACTTTCAGGTGCCTCTGAGATAATAGTAAGAATGCCAGTCACGTTAATGGGCAGAATTCCCCTGGTTATTATCAATATAATCAAAAACAATCTGCTAAATGTATAAAAGCACATAGAACTATGAACTCTGTGGAAATATATCCATGAGAGAAAACTATACAAAGTGATCTAACATTACATTTATCTGTGTTGCTTTCAACAAAAGCATCTGTTAAATACTGATGAGGAAAAATCCAAATTCTATGTTCTTGAATTAACTGTTGCCTGACTTAGTAAATGTAATGATGATCATGCATACATGGCTGATTTCAGATACTATTCCATTTCATTTAAAGTATAGTTCTATTTATCAGAAATATCAAGTCTATGCTATGAAAATCCAGTAATGTGTCAAACATAATCCTGGAGTTAATGTTAAAACTGTTTTTCATATCTATATATTTATACCTATGTTTAATTCATAATTAGGTTTTGGTGAAAAAATAAACTTTTGGTGAAAAAGCAAAGGGAAAACTGGAAATAAATTACAATTCTTGTTCCAGGATAAGTAACTTATAAACCCCCTTTGTCTGAGCATTACATAATTCTGGATCTTTTAGGGTCTTGACTTTTAGTGTGAATGCAAGTGACAAACTGGGCAGATTTAAAATAAATCTGACATATTTTTTTTCAAATGCTGTTTTGTTCTAAATCACCTTTCAGCTAATGTTATCAGCTGTCGATCTAGAACATACTGTACCGTAAGGAAGACACAACAAGGCGGCAAGAATTTATTGTTATTAAACTTGTCAGCTTCTCAGCATAAAAGGGGAATAGGATTATTGTGTTTAGTTTTGCAATTAGTCTAGCTAATTCCATCAGATGTATTTTGTATATATAAGAAGGATATAACAATCTGCTGATTAAGTTACTTTGTTTTTTGTGGTATTTTCCTGTCCATTTTTACTGATGCTGAGTTATGCATTAAAAAATGTTCAGTATTGCAGATTCTAGCTGAGCTCTTTGCCTGCGTCTGACAAAACATATTATGCAATATGCGCATGTTGTGACACTGAAGGCCAATCAAACTCAGTTTTACAACCGGAGGAAGAGTACAACTTATTGAGTTTGCTCAGATTGCAAAGGCAAAAACATACATGGCTTACTTGAATAGTTACAGAAAATACTACAACCTTAAAAGGGTGCAGAACAGCATTCTAAAATGTTTAATCAAAACAGGAAACAGAACAGCAAACCCATCAATAAATAAAGATAGCCTTAGAGACTAATTAGTAATAATTGTTAACTCAAGATGCTCCCACAACAAAGCAAATTTGAAATACGCCTATTAAAACAGTCATACGGCTGCATTTTGTACGTATTTTTTTACTAAAAGTGACTCAAAATGTCTCATACGCCACTTACGGGATATTCTTAGCCCACGTTACTCCATACGCAGGTACCTCCAATGGTGCCTGCTTTTCTCTGTTTTGCCATGACAACCTGCTTATAGTTTCCATTAGATAACGCCAAGAACACACTAGATAGATAGACAGATAGATACATAGATCGATAGATAATTTATAAACTAAACTCATAAATGAAGTCCTATGTATGGTATAAAGACATACCTCGGGATACAGCAATTACAAGTGAAAAAAAACGCTGGGTAGACTGACATATAATGCAATCGTACAGTATTAAACTACAATTACGATATTAAACGGCATTAAATCACCCAATAAAGAAAATGTTCCATAAAATGAAAAACGCATTGTTAAACGTGTAGAGGCTGTGTCATCTACAGTGATGTCAAAATAATGTATGCGGGCAAGAAATTAGGCTCGCCCACTAGCCTGAGACGAGTGATTTAGACGAAGGACCAGGACAGAACACTGAACACTAGTAAAAAAAAATTCCCTGTCGGACTACATTTTCACTAAAGTAACCAAGTTGGCTAGCAGCAAAAATTAAGTTCCACCCGTGTATGTATGTCATATTATGTGGCCCATTTTAAAAACGCCCAAATACGGAGCTTATTGTAGGGTTAGTATATATCTATAGAAGAACAGTAACTAATATTAAGTTTGCACTTCGCAAATCAGGGAAATCCGAAACACACATATGTTGAAAAACAAATAATCGAAATAAAAACTACTGTGGTGATATTAATAGCAAAAACATAAGGATTTTCTAAATTATTAAGAAAATACCAATGGTTTCAAACCGATAGCTCTTTATACCTACCGATGGTTCTTTAAATGCTGTTATCGGTTTATTTATTTTTTTACTTAAGTATGTATGAAAAACATTCATTACAAGGGCATAGTTTTTTAAAAACACCGATAATTTGCACGTGTATTACTAGCCGAGATAAATATTTTTTAAACCGAAATTTTTAAAAATGCAAAGGAAGGTAGGGTGTCAAATGCTAAGACGTAGCTCAAAATACATCCAAACATTATATTATCCTAGCATAATGATCGTCATCAGCACCTACGCTCACAGACAAGTTAAAGGACAAGACACGGCAAAAGATTTATGGACAGATATAAAATACCAACGTCATTAATATCACTGTCTGGCCATGTTGGAGTACTGGGTGTCCTCGCTCTATTTGCACGCGCACTTGCTCCCTCGCTCCAATGTATAATTGTGATATGTACCTCTGTGCAGGCGGGCCAGCAAGCGGCTCAATAGAAAATCCTTTAACGAGCACCCAAAAAGAACGTTAACATGACGTTCACAAGCAACAGCACCACGATCACTGCAAATATAACCACCGTTTGTGCGTCCAAGGTCATGGTGCAATGCAGGAGGCTGTAATATTCACGATGTTGGGCAGGCACATTGTTTTCAGTTGTTAGCCTAGGTTCTGTGTGACTGTCCATGCATCCACCATTATAATAAAGAAAAAAAAAAATATATATATATAATATATATATATATATATATATATATATATATATATATATATATATATATATATATACAGTAAAAACGACAGCCTTCCCTTTCGGATAAGCTTCTCTTCTCACTCTTTCTTATTGTAGCCCGTGTGTAAAGTTCGCCAACGAAGCATCGTCATCCTCACCATCATCATCACCAGATTCAGCACCGTTATTTTTCTCTTCTAGTCTAAAGCCAGCCACCGCTGATTTTTCCCTCGCCGAATCCGTAGATATACTGAGTGAGTCCGCTCATGCACTATTCCTGACGCTAGAGTAAGAGACCGCTGCTGCATCTTCCAAAATGTAGCGGCGAGCGGCAGCCGAGGCGGCCCTCCATGCATGCTAATCAGCGGCCGCTGGCTCGGAAGCGGGGGGATTCGGACGTCAATCAAAAGGAGGGGGAGTTTGCACAGTTTCGCTGCGAATTTTTAACCATCGAGCTCTCAAGCACTATACAGGAAATCGGAATAATAATATTGAGAAGAATGCTGTACCAAAATCGCATTATTATTCCACATTGTATTAATGCAGTGACATGTTTTACTTGCATTGATACGTTCTCATAACAACACTTACAGCGACAATTTCCAGATTTTGAATATACTGCCAGCAAATTACAATTACTATAATTGTCATATGCGTTAGTGCAAATCTACGTTCAGATTATTTTTTTCCCTAATGTGTCGTTTATGCTTATTGTCTGGCAAACATTTTTCACGTATTCTTAAACTCTGAAATTTGAAACTGAGGGGAAAGGACAAATTGTAAAGATGAAAAACCACAAGAATTTTAGTTCCGTATGTCTATATTAGATAGCACAATGGTCACCAGGCAGTGATCTACGGCAGGGTATTTCAATGTACGGTACGTTTCTGCGGATGCTCTGGGGGTCCGAAGAAACATATATTGCAAATACCGCACCAAAATAATATTGGTTTGCGCAACGTTTTTCAGGAGAACCCAGCATCTCCCGAGTCACGGATGATGATGACTATTAATGCAATAAAAGTGATGTCCTTAAGCTGAAGAAGAAGGAATGAAAAAAGGTGCCTGTACGTTCAATGTTTTTTTTTCTCATTCCAATAGTTGAAAATTATTAGTTTGTTCATTTAAACGTAACTTATTTATTTATGTTTATGGTTGAACTCATTTTTTACAGTTGAATAAATGAATTACACTGAAGCAACTTTATTTCGTGTGACAGATTACTTAGATCATTTCAAGTTGATTCAACATTTCCAACATTTTATTCTTGCTAGTGTGGTGTTCAAATTAAAGTACGCCTGGAGATTTATGACATATCAGAGCTACAATAATTTAAAAGCAGTAAATGAAAAACCATCGATCTTATGGTTTTTGGGGCAAAATATTTAGAATGCATTTTAATAGACCATTGCATTAGGGCAAGTTGTTATTTTGAGATAAAGTTACAGCTAACAAACCATTAATAAAATTTCAAGGCATGAAGTTACAGTATTTTAAATAGCCTTTTCAAATACCTTAATCGGTGAATGTCATCACACCGTCAACCAAAATTATGTCATACATAAGTAATCGTTTAAACAATTTAATTCGCAAAACGATTACAGTCTGGTGTATGTTGTATTGCAATTCAATTGCATTTTATATAGGCCGTTTATGGTATTTATTTAGAAGGGTTACGGGAAATATGTCGAGTAGAGTGTGAGGGATCCCGTTCTAATGACTGAGCATGGTGCTGTCCTCGATACCAGCGTTCTGCAGATGCAAAACTGAAAACAGTTGCCACCCCCTCAGCAGATGCTCTGGGATTGCTCAACTGACAGCATTCTCATAAATGCAAATCTACCATATTTCTGTATTACTAAGGATTTCTCCATTAAATTGTTGTAATTTTGTCATTACATTTTTCCAATAAATGTTTTAGCGGTAATAAATTAGCTGATATAAAGGAAAAATATTTTTTTATAATAAAGTGTCTGAAACATTCTACAATTTAAGTTACCCATCAGGTAACATTTTTTCTGTGATTCAGGTATCGTTGGATGACCTTGGGTGTGTGGAACATCATGACCTTCACAATATTCCAAGATGGTTATTTTATACAGATACCACCTGCCCCCATAGTTTCCAGTTCTGGCCAGCAGAACATGTGTGGCTTTTCTGTTCTCTCATGGGTTTCATTATTTAATGAAAAATTACATTCAATTTGCCGTAAAATATAAATATGAAATGGAAATTTTAATAATTTGTAGTCTGTGAAAGATATACCTTCATACCCTGTGCACAAGACACGATTTTAGCTGAAGACATTATGAAGTGAGATTTCTGTTGCCTCTTCCTTTCTGCAATTTCACTGCAGCCTCCATGTGACATTTAAACAATAAAGGTCACATCAGAAATTCTAAGTGTTGTTTAAGAATGGAAATGTTAATACTTTTGTGAATATTGTACATCAATCAATAATATAGTGAATCAATATGAAACAATGATCAGTAGGGACATTAAGAATGGTGAATAATTTCATAGATGCTGATGAAATTAAAAGTGCAATAAATATAAAGCAACAGTTTTGAAACACAGCTGGAATATGTGTAATGCTTTTGTTTTGGCCTTTAAGGGCTGCTCTGGGTCTTTTCAGTAACTAGATGCTGTCAGTATGACAGCAATGTATTCCCCAGACCACCCCATCACCCCTCCCCCATATAGTCCCTATTCCTCCAGCACATCCCCCCTTACATTAGACTTAGGCATTATCGAAGTTTTCATATCGTTGATGCATTATACCGTGCTATATGGTATTTAGACAGTATTTTCAAAAGCAAAGTTATTCCAGCATCTTGTTGCAGGGGTGAGGTTCCCTGTGCTAAATTTTGCCAGGTGGGGGGATTCACCAAAAATAAATTTCTCGGAATGAAAAAAATCTTTATTAAAATCCCTACTTTGTGTGACTTGTCTCAATGTAATCAGGTTCCCCAGATCTCCACCTGTTCTTTCATGTGTCACCACTGACTAGAACAGGCATTAAGTTTCCCCATGATAAATTTCACCGACTGAGTAACAGACTTCTGTCAATAAAATTTGCCAAGCAGGGGGGCTGAGGACAAAAAAAACAATACAAACTTTATGGTAACATTTTCTATGGATGCCAGGTCCATAAGAATCTACAAACACATTCATAACACATCATAATGCATTCATAAAGCATTATGAATATGGCTATAAGTCTTTATAAAAGGCGTAACAGATTGTAGCCACCATTATTATGCATTATAAATGCTTTATGAAGCTCTCTTCTACAGTGCACTATAGATACCTTCATAATGCAGTACCTTTAATTCTTATAACGACCATTATGATACATTATGAAGGTATCTATAATACATTATAGATGAGAGCTTCATGGGAGCTTGTAAGTATTATAATCAGCACCTTAATGCCTTATGTCCACCAGTGAAGGCATCAGCCATGCACACCACTACAGCCAGTGCCACGCCGGGCAGTGCCCCCACAGCTAGTGGTGGCAGCATGTGGGTGCAGATCTAGCTTTGTACAGAATCACAGAGTAGCCTAAACTGGTAAATATAATGCAGAGGAAAGCAATGCTGCATATAATACAAAGTGATCCGAAACAAACCTGAGAAACCCAGAAGAGATGGTTGGGGAGCAGTATGACCAGAAAGTGGAGGAAAAATGGCTATTGAGCCCTCAGCATGTATGTGGGGGCTCCTTCAGCCTCAAGCAAAGGAGACTGAGGGGGGACATGATCCAGGTCTATAAGATTCTAACAGGTTTGGATGCTGTTCAACCGAATAGTTACTTCAGCATTAGTTCAAATACAAGAACTCGTGGCCATAGGTGGAAATTAGCGGGAGAACATTTCAAACTGGATTTAAGGAAGCATGATCTTTACACAGCGTGTAGTCAGAGTATGGAATAGTCTTCCTGATAACGTAGTGCAAGCTGAATCCCTGGGTTCCTTTAAATCAGAGCTAGATAAGATTTTAACAACTCTGAGCTATTAGTTAAGTTCTCTCCAAGCGAGCTCAATGGGCCGAATGGCCTCCTCTCGTTTGTATAGTTCTTATGTTCTTATGTTCAGGGCAAATGGAATAGTAGCCCTGGTGGCCTCCTCATGAAATTGGCGTAGAGGAGACAGCAGAGTCAGCCAGTCCCTGGAGTAACTGGGGTTAAGGGCCTTGCTCAAGGGCCCAATGGTGGGATCATTCCACAGACCCAGAGATTTTAGTCCCCCCCCCCCAGTAAAGTGTCTTTTAAATCATGTCATGTCAGGTAAAAGACGAGGAGAATCAACTGAAGCCAAACATGGAAAAAATGGTTTTGAATAGAAAAAGTCCAAAAATGCATTTCTGAACTGGTTTATTCATTACAACTGAAGCATAAAATAAATCCCAATCTGCTCAACATATACAAACACATTTTCTTGACAGAAAATCCATAGGGGGAGAAAAATTCCTGTAGAATTAAACAAGAACTAAATTAGAGCAAGAATGGTCTTGAAGTCAAACATGAGAAACTGATATCGAAACATTAAAATTCACTCTTCAAATTAAGAGCAGCAAGAAGTCATCCCACGCCAATTGCATATATACCTGACAAGAGAAAATAAAATTGTACTTTATTACACATATTTTTTGACAGCACAATTCAATAGTGTTATGTTCTAATGTATTTGGTACAACTGCAATTAAGGTTCTTGCCAGTAGGCTACGCACAGCCTGTGTTTTGGGATATTTCAAAGCCTTTCGAAACACCGGTTGTTTAAAATGTAAAAATTGTTTTGAAGATTCTAAAATTGTCATCTCTATAATCGGGGGTTGAGTTCTTTACCTTTTGTTTCAGAGGTTCCTCATAGCACTAATTTTAGGAAGGGCAGCAGAGAACCTTAGATAGGACAAGCGGGAGGATCGACACCCACATTTTCCAGCAGTTTTAAAATTCCTATTAGTGATGTCTGACGGCGCTGCAAGCAATGCAACTCAAAGCATTGCAATCCAGGAATTATGCTAAGATACTTGCACATTTCACCCATATGGTTTTCCTTTAGCCTCATGAACTGTCCAAATTAGCAGCATAAGAATACAACTCTGATTCCTACATTTTAAGCGCAATGGCGGTGATCAAGCCATGAGCAACGCTCATTGCTCTGTTTAACTAAGGTTGTGATCTAATTCCCACTTGCACAGAGGAAGCTCACAGCGCAGGCTCAATTAGCTGATTACTAATCAGGAACAGGTGTGATACTTGCCTCCATTTCTCATATGTTTTAGTCTAAGGTGTCAAGTATTTCTGATGTGACTCACAAATACAAGCTGCGTATGACTCCAAAAACAATTTTTAATGGTGTAAACAACCTAAAAAGCATTGCAGATGAATATACTAATATGGGTATATACTGGAGGAAATTTGGAAAGCTTCCATATTTGGCAGATTCTACATCCTTGAAGAAATAATAAATAGATAAATATATTAAAATATATGTTCTTCTAAATATACAACAGTGATAAGACAGAGAAAATATTGCGCATGAAAGTCCCTAATCAAAATGCTTACCTATTCGGTTCAACATGGGCTAAATTATCACAATTTTAAAATAACCTTTAACCAAGGAGCTAGCCAAGGCATTTAATTAACACCCGTTAAGGTGACATTCTGTCCAAATACATGGTAAAATAAAGGATTTACTGTGTACACAAGCCTTGTGCCCTAAGATCCTCCACATGACCCAAATCAGCACAAACAATCGAAAGATGGATAGATTGTTGTTTATTAACAACTGCTGTTTAATTTAACACATTCTGTTTTATAATAAGGTGTAGTTTCATTCAAAGTTATGAATAGATAACAGAATCATAATTAAATAGTCCTACCTATTTGACACAGCTGTCTAGGTCAAATCTTTTTTTATATCAAAAAATATTTTATTTTTTGGCTTATAAACAAACGATTTAATGGCTTATAAACAAAAATAACTTGGACTTTTATTTGTATTTCTGAATACTTGATCACAGTCTGTGAATGACATAGATTAATGTGGATTGTGAATGATTTGTGGGAATCAAAAATCAGAAAAAATTGCTTTAGTCAAGTAAGTCAGTTAAGAATTGTTGACTTCACAATAGCCTGGGAAACAGTAGGCTAGTTACCCAAAACTCACACAACCATGACAGATTTCATTATTTCGTTAAAAAAGGTAGTTTCTATGTAGTCTTATCATTAGCTTACAATGTCTATTCCACTAGATTGTTTCTGGTGACAGTTAAGCTATGTTATATAACATATTTTGAATGCATTACTCATTTAAGTCTGAATATATGAAATACAGCAGTTTGTTAACGCCAAAGTCCTCATGTTTTTTTCTTTGTATACCCATTAAAATCCCAAACAAATTTTGCTCTATATAACTTAATCCCACTCTGATATGAATCCCTTTAAATTCCCTACACTATTTATTGTGACACCCACATATTCTATTTCCAACCGGATATAATGATATCAGTCCGGTTGCTAGGTTCCATGCCAAGCTTATAGTCTCATTACACCAGTTGGAAAAATACTTATTTGAGTTATATAATGAATTGAATAAGAACTAATATCCCATCGAAAAAATAATTACACTGATGTCGTCTGAGCATAAACAAAAAATGTAGACATTAAAAAAATTATATCCAGACCTTAACTAAAGGAAACAAATAATAGCATTTTATTGTATTTTCTAAGATTTTTGTAGTCACTATTAAATTTACCTCATGACCTTGTATCGGATAATTGGTTGGAAGATTGATGTGGATCTTGGCATTCTGAAAGGGCTAACATAGCTAAGGATGGTAAATAGTATTTCATAACAATTTAATATTCATATATAATATATTGCAATAAACAAAGAGTATTATACTTTAACAAATTAAAAAGATGATTCACCATAGTCTATTAAATTGTACGTATAACTTGGGTTAGTCTGTTGTTTCACATTGAGATTAGCAGAATAAGGTTACATCATTTTTTATTCCGTGGAAAACAAAATCAAGAATGAGCACAGATCCTTGCCACCTGGCTGGATTGATTAAGTGTAGTTTCAGGCACAACAAAGACTCAAAGCATTCAGGTCAAAATCACATTTATTAACTTTCGCATGTCAAGGTGATCCTTCCAATACTTGTACAGGTTGATGAATGTGGGACGAGTACAAATTAGATGGGCGGAGCAAGTGACAGGGCTGTCCAGGGAATACAATTAAGTTAATTAAGTGATAACATTTAACTGTCACATACACACTGGCACAGAGTGGGGAACCAGGCACAGGAGTCGGGGAATTCGGGTGAACACGGGGTTTATTCGGAATAGACACACTCATGACCACGGAATGACATCAATGACCGGACTGGGGAAGCATTCACACAGACACTCAATTAAATATACAGAGTTAATTAACACAACTAGAAACAGCTGATCAAAAGGATTCCACACGAGGTAAACGAGGGGGTGTGGCACACAGGAGGATCGGAACGATCAGGGCATGACATTAAGAAATACATGTAATGGCTGGGATGCCTCCAAGCAGAGGTTTGGGATCCAAAGAGGTGTTTCTCTTGCCATCCAACAAGATATCAGTAACTTTTGAGAGAACAGAATAAAATTCTTGTTGATTTTTACTGTGTTACTCTTCATTTGTATTAAGAGTGATGTGGCATTTTTAACAAATACTCAGGTCTACCTACTCAGTATTCACAGTGAGCAATATATTACGATAAAATGATTGTACCTGACAAGTATGTGTGTGCATGATTAGACCAATAAGAGGAAAAGTGCTCTTGTCATTTGGTCTTAGTAATGCCACGGGTCATTAAAAACTGATAAAATATATGTAGTTGAGCCTGCAGCGTGATTTTTGTCCAGTGCTTGAAGTGGGGAAAAATAGATGCAAAAATAGGTACTCCCCTTGTTATTCAGTACCAGGTGCTGGTACTCCCCTTGTTATTCAGTACCAGGTGCTGGTACTCCCCTTGTTATTCAGTGCCAGGTGCCAATACTCCCCTTGTTATTCAGTGCCAGGTGCCAATACTCCCCTTGTTATTCAGTGCCAGGTGCCAATACTCCCCTCGTTATTCAGTGCCAGGTGCCA